CATAACAGAAAGAAAAATCCTCGTTGTATGAGAATAACTGTGGTAAAATCTTAAATAAAGATTTGAACAAAAGACAAATATCACTTTTAACGATTAATTTCGAATATATACGTTCTAGGGAATAAAATGCATTGTTTGGTATACGAAACATTTAGCTTTATACAGTGAGGGAAATGAAGTTCAAATATCTGCAGTCATCTAAGTGTTGATTACAGTTAAAACTACTTATCTAGTATATTTACACGTTTTTTTTTCGTATGGTTCTGCTCGCGATGACAGTAGCCTTACCAAAAGATATGATTCTTTTTTTTTATATATTTCATTTAATTCAAATGATATGAATGTGCATACAGTTGATCGTGTATGAGTATCGATCATTAATACTTATAAACAGTTTATCCATTTATGATGAAACTGTAACATTATATCCATAAACTGTACCTTTTTTAGATATAATTGCCATCCAAGGTGAATTTTTTCATCAAAGATTATTCAGTACAATTTTAATAAAATGTAATAACTAAGTTAGTGAATTCCTGGTTTACCTAGATTGTGAAATGTCAAGTTACACTATATTCTAAAGCATTAAGTAATTAAAAATTTGTATTATCAAATGACATTTGGACTTCACCGGCTTACCAGTGTAAGAAGACTTTGAGGACTACCACTTACTGTGGTATCATTACTATTCGATGGATACCAGCTCTTGTCGAGTTCATGGGTACTCGTAAACCACGAATTTAATTGTTCAACGAAGTAACAACTTTTTTAGGCTTGTATGCAGTCCTCAGCAAAACCACGAAATCTGATAACAACGAAAATACAATTTTTCGTCAATCCTCGAAAATTGGTACCCACGAATATTAATGAATCCACAGTTAATCAAATGTTATAATATATAACAGACTTTCGTCCCAACACACACTTGAGAACTTTACAACGAAGTGTAGCAATGTAATATGTACTTGGCCTATTAATAACTTTTTGGCCTTTCAAGTATGCTTCCTCCATTTTTGTCTTGCTTGTGACGAATCTCGCCAAAAAAGAGATAATACTGATGCTAAACGGCCAGCGACGAGGACGTTGTAAACTTTTTGTATGAAGATTTTTGTTTTAATGGAAGTGCTTAATATAGATGTTTCATGGTCTGAAGGTTCAGTCTGGCATTTGTCAGTTGTGCTGGTGAATTATCAGAACCCGAGGTTTTCATCAGCTTAGTTGTCAGTACTTCGGTACTGACATGATTTATAACAAATCTTACTAAAATTGTCCGTTTATAAATTCTTAATTTAAAAAGAAACTAACAGACTAAGGTTTCAACTCCCTCAGGCAAAGTTGACCTTAGATGGATTTGGCTATTTTTTATGTCGTTTTTATTCATATAGCTCTTCAACTGTTTTGGTTCTTATACATCCTTGGCTTTCAAATATTTGGCTTTGAGCGGTCCTAATGAAGATACATCAAGAAAAGTGCTTCGGACGCATGAAATTTATAACGTGTTTTTTCTTTCTTTCATTTTTACAGCACTGGGTCGATACCTCTGCTGGTGGACTATCAGTCCCCGAGGGTATCATCAGCTCAGTTGTCAGTACTTCGGCACTGACATGATTTATAACAAATCTTACTAAAATTGTCCGTTTATATTTTTTTAAATTTTAATGAAACTAAGGTTTCAACTCCCTCAGGCAAAGTTGACCATAGATGGATTTGGCTATTTGTAGGCCTTTTTTATTCATGTAGCTCTTCAACTGTTTTGGTTCTTATACATCCTTAGCTCTCAAATATTCGACTTTGAGCGTTCCTGAACAAGATAAATTTCGAAAAGCGCTTCGGACGCATGACATTTTTAACGTGTTTTCATTTTTTCATAGCTCATGGACTGCTTAAAAACGTTTTAGTTTTTAATCACGTGATTCTATAAGTATCATAAGTAAAACCTGACCTTGAACTCATTTGTGTTTCGGAGAAAAACGTTATATTTTTGTGATTAAGTCAATTTCGCAGGTTCTATAAGCAATAAGTTAACTGTATTTGGTGTATGAATGATTGTAAGTGTACATGCCCATCTAACATGGTTCATCTTACCTTGATCTCAGTATTTAATTATTCATTTTTCGTAGCGTGTTGCTCAGTCTTTAGTTTTCTATGTCGTGTTTTGTGTACTGTTGTTTGTTTGTTGGTCTTTTCTTTTTTTAGCCATGACGTTGTCAGTTTATTTTCTACTTATGAGTTTAAATGTCCCTTTGGTATCATTGGCCTCTCTTTTACAGGATTTTTATCGTATGCAAAACTCACTGACATTTTTTTAACAGTTAATCACAACCAAACCTCTGAAAGTCCAGGTACATTTATCTGAACAAACTTCAAACATACAATCAAGATGTATTTACATCATAGAAAATTAGAGGGTACAACGTTGTATTACTGTAACCATATGGAAATGTTATTAGAAATTTGAATGAATAAGTTCCCAACAGCATTTATATTAAAAGAGGAAATTGATAAGAAGGGCCTCATTTGGGCATTTCATTTGGTAGAACCGTTAAGCCTTTTATGAGCAAAAACTTGAATGCTCCTTAACTATGTTTTTAATTTGGCATTCTAACTGTTTTGATTCGAGTGCCACTGATGAATCTCATGCAGACGAAACGCGCATCTTCTTGGTATCTTTGATGAGTTTGATAATAATACAAATCGACATCAAACAACTCTTTATGATGCAATATCTTAATGGTCAAAAGTTACATTCTAAATTACAAATCCCATTCATTTTTATGGTTGATTGCCTTATTTGTCATTTTCTGTTGATTTCTGAATATTATAAGGTCACAGTGACCTTAACATGAACGGAACATTCAAATTGGTAAATAAGACGAAGATAATCTATTAAGCTTGAAAAGTATATCAAGTATGTATAAAAATATCGAACCGATAAAATGACAAATAACACTATTAATCACTCTGTGTTGTCGTACAGTGTCTGAAAAGATGAAAGTACAGTGGACCATAATTTTGTGTGATTAAGTATGAAGGAAATTTTAATCTATCAGAAGCTTTAAATGGTCAAAGCCATATAGAAAATGTCAGACAGATGTTTACTCCTTGCAATAATTCATCATACCAACTAATAATTCATCAAGTTAATTAGGTAACGAACAGACCTATTTCTGAAAACGAAAGTAACCTGACAAATGAAGCATATATCATGTATAGATGATGTCAAGAACAAATAAAATCTCAAATTGACATTTAACTCTCATGTCAAACCCACATACCACATATTGTTGACTATTATGTATACTTAATAACAAACCTAACCATAAAAAGTGAAGCCTGAAAATGGGATCAAGGCCATGGCATATTGCAATAGTAACTGAGGTACAGTCTTAACCATCTTAATGGTGTGAACATGTAGTCAAGGCAATATTAGATATCATAAATATGAATGCCCAGAGCTAAATCAATTATCTTTAGATTGAATAGGTATATTTTTTCATTATTATGGCTTGATCATTTTCTTTGTGAACAGTTATCTATTATCATGCACATAAAGCTATGAACTAAACTATAAATATTATAAGTACTCTTTAAATAAGTATGAAAGAACATAAAACCACACAGCCAACATACAAATCCAAAATTCCACAGATAAAATTGCTGACATCTTCCTGAAAAATTGATATACCTCAAGCACATCAAACTGATTTACACATTTTACTATAACCAATGTGTTGGTATGCAAGTGAAACTGTCAAGTCCATCATACTATACACCAAGTACTTAGTGTAACAATTCAATACAAAAAAACATGGTTTTATTTCAATCCATCATCTGTATTCAAAAGTTCCAATATTTGCCCTGATAGAATCTTGTGTTAAGTCTGTAGGGACCATAGTCACCAGAATTTCTTTTTAGTGAACAGTGATATTTTACATTCATCCACTTCAGATTAACCTTGATATTTCACAGAAAAGATATCATTTATTCCTTATCATTGATTTAAAGTTGATGTAATTATATTTCATAAAAGGAATGTTTTCTGAAAACTTTAGTTTGAGTTCGACTTGGGCCAGCGGTTAAAGATTTTCAAGATTTGTCCAGATTAGGTCCTATAACAAATTCAAAGTATATAAACTGTTAAATCTTATCTTATATGACTACAATTTATCATTTTTTTTTAATTTGTAATTAGATGGTTTTTCACTGAATTATTTTGGTTCGTTTCCGGTTACCTTCTAATGATTTTTATTTATAAATGACCTTTAGACTATCAGCATGGTGAAGGAAAATAAACACTATGTGTTAGATAAATTGTGTGCGTCAGAAGACTTTTCTGGATTTTCTTTCATCAGGAACCCTCAAACCCAAATATTTTCAAAGAAGGTTATTCATGAAATATGAATTTTGCCTAAGTATCAGTATATTAAATCTATAACTATATATATATATAAAGAAAGGAGTCATCCAGGCATAATTTCCATTGCAATTGCAATAAGGTTTCTCATTTAATGCTGATTCTGGTAACAAAAGGTAACTTCAATAGATCTCTGAAATAGTAGTTCAAAATATCAAATTGAAAGTACAGATACGATTTCAATCATAACTCACCTCAATTTAGAAAATGACAAGAAAAATTGGAAGGTGAATTTCCCCAACCTAAAATAGGTACTTAATGAAAAGGGTCACAATTTTAACTGATTTGTATGCTATGGGTAGGAAATTGCACAAGAAGTCATTAAAGTTAATGAAATCCTTTTTTATTTGGTGCAAAAATGCAAATTTTGAAAACTCAAATGAAAATTGTGAAACAATTGGTTCAGTTGCAATCAAAAGAACACCTTGTACATTTTAAAATCAATTGGTATGGTATTTATCTGTTAGTGGGTGATGAAAAAATCATAACATTATTTCAAATGGAAGTGATCCTTAAATTATTTTGAGCAGAAAAGTTTCTATCGGGCATAAAAACATGAAATTCTCAAGAGAAACAGAAATTTAAATTCATTTTTTTTTAATTTTTATTTTCAACAATTCTCATATATGAATATAAATGTAATCTCTAGCATAAAAATTTTACATGATATACCATGTTATTACATTATCTGTATTAATAACAATACATGAAATTTAACAGTTTATTTTCAATTAAAACATCATTATTTCATATTAACCTTTCAACATCATACATATTTTATTATTCGTTTGTAAGCATTATACTCACAGTGAGTCCTCCCATGATACACTAATAATCTATGACAAATATATTTCATATCGTCAATGTCATATACCTGATACAGTCTCATGTGGTAACATGAGAATCAAAGCAAATTTCAAGCATTCTTACAAAATACTGTGTATGCGTTAAATTCACAGGATACAAATTATCATGCAGTCTGTGTAACGATGGAAATAAACAAGATTTAGTTTTAACTTTCACAACAGCTAATGGAAAATACAAACAAAATTAAGTACCAATGAAGCAATATAACGTTGCTGGGGGCATGGACCCTCCTTTTTTCTTTACTTTTTATTTTTGTGCAAAATGAGAATTGGGGGCAGCATATATAAAGTACTGTTATGAAACTTGTATGAATAAGAGCAAGAAAACATTTAATAAGTTAATATACAATTTTATTATACTTCATGTCAAAATGCCAGATTTTGATTGGTTAATACGAGGGAGACAATTCACTCTATCCCATGGCAAATACTCTATTACCTTTCATGGAGACGCTTGCTCAAGTGTGTGCTTTGAAAAATATGGATGATTGTTATGTATAAGACGACATAGTTTACTACTTTGAATTTGTAATTTAATTGACAGTAATAACAGAACATTCAGTATAATAAATTAAATAATACATATCTGAGAGAGTGATAGAGCAGATTGTTACCCCTCGAAAAGACATTGTCAACCTTGGCTTCGCCTCAATTGACAATGTTTTCTCGGGGTAACAATCTGCTCTATCACCCTCTCAGCTATGTGTTATTTATATATAAATGGCCCGCTGATGAGGTTAATATCTCATTACATGATATATCATGCTTTTACGTTATCTTTCAATAACTGCATGTACTCTTAGATTGGTACATTGTTTCTTTTGTCTTTAAGTTTTTATTATCTAATTTAATTCATTGTTTTAATAAAGCCCTCATGGAATAACCCTTACTCCGGTTGACAATTTTGGATATTCATCGACTCAATGGGCCATAACTGTTTTATTATACATTTTTGTACCAAACAACAATTAAGTGTTAAATATTGTAAATTTTAGAATTTTTTAACTGCTGTTTCAAAGTCAATGATGTCCCTGTTCTCAGCCAAAAGATATTGTAAAAACACATTCATTGCTGCTTTGGTGGCCTTTTCAGTATTTTGAGCATCTTTATCTTCAAGCAACTGGTTCAAAGCATTTTCATCAGAATGACCAAAACGCGAACCTTGTACTGTGGAATACATATTTGTTTTTGTTTATCTGACTTTAAGTGACGTCAAACTTTAAAGGGAGTTAACTCGTGTTCATTGAGGTACGACAAGGGTTATTCACCAGGGAATAATATATGGTTGTTCGATGGAGGCTTCAATTTGTTGGGGTTATTCACTGCTCCTGGCAATTTTTTGAAAAACATCGAAATTATACTATGACACGTGATTCCGTATTAGCCAATCAAATAATTACTATATATTGTAAGGTACAATAATATAAGTTATATTATTATTAAAGAATATTTACTGATAAAATCCTCAGTACGGATAGTGATAGCTTTTTCCAACATTAAATTCAACAATATCATGTATAACATGATATGAGTATTAATCAAAATAGAGGATTCCTATTGCGAAGGAAATGAAAAGTTTCCCCAGAATCATTTGGTGTTTACCTCTATAAAAATAAGATGTTGTATGATTACCAATGAGACAACTCTCAACCCCAGAGACTGTCTTTCTAAATTTTTTGCAGAATGAATTGTCCCATTGAATAAATACAATATCTATTATTCTCTGTGGAGTTCATTCAATGAAAACTTTGAATTTTTCCTTGAAAAACCGATCATTCATTATAAATTGTTTTGAACTGATTCTGAGGAAAGGTTTCATTTCCTTCGCAATAAAACAATTTGAGAAAGATGACAATTTTTCCTAAATAAAAGGTCAACATTTAGTGAGCTATAAAAGCCAAGACCATCATAAACAAGAGAAACCATACAATGACCATTTTTTAGTTTGAGTGAGCAGTTTAATAATTTTAGTTAAGGCATGCATGAGTTATTGTACAACACTAGAAAATGTACAATTTAGTATCTTAAATAAGTCTTGTTACTCCAGAATTATATATTCTTCTAAAATCCAAATGTATCTTTTTATCAACAGTCATGTAAAACTTAATAACAGCAGGCATTAAAATACTTAAGTTATTTTTTAACTTTTATTTTATGTCAGCCTTTTCCTGTATGTCTTGTATTGCTGGATTGTGTTAAAATCATCTTTAGGAAACATATTTCATCAAGCCTTCAATCCAGTGATAGATTTGTCAAGGAATGATCCTTTGATAAAATTTGGTAAATATTTCAGAATATTCAGTCTACGTAAACCTGAGTTATCACACACCTTATCAACACACAGATTTATAGAAAATATACCATTATGCATCTAGCATAGATTAATTTAAAATATCTACTAAATACAGAATACAAGACCATATAAATCATATTTTGAGTAGCTGATATGTTCATAATGCAACATATTTTGTGTAACAGATATGTTTGAATGAACCCATCTAATTGAGTTACTGTAAATTCAGAAATCATTTTGAGGGTTTTCTTAATGCGAATAATGTGACTTGGTGATTAACGCAACAATAAGAACTTGTATTCTAATATCTGAAACATATAAATCAATGCAGATTTTTCCTGAGTTGCAATAATTAATCTCGCACATTTGTCCATTCTTCAAAAATCGCAATAATCAATGCACGCAATAATTTCTGAATTTAAAGTAATTCTTTTTTTAAAAATATGTAAGAACCAACAATTCAAAATTTTGAATATTTCACAAGCATGCAAACTTTTATTTGTTGGTGATTAACAATGTGATTTTAGTCTCAATGATGTTTCTATACTTCTATTAAACTGTCAAGAGAAAATTTTTGCAAGGGCTTTATTTTTGCTAATTTTGCAATTCAGACAAAATTGCAAAATTATTCCAAACATAAATTTGATCTATAAGGCAGATCATAAATGAAGACAAGAAAAAAGAAAAATATAATTTTGCAAACAGGTTTTGCCTTGAAAATCCTAAAACATAAATTCCATGAAAATGAAGCACTTTGCAGTATATTGATATATATGCCTTTAATGCCAAGGTCACACATGAATTCTTTATGGTTACATGCAGTTTGCGTATTCAAACATACTGGTGTATAAAATTTAACCAAACATGCTCAATCTGATTAAATGCTCTCAAAAATCTAAATCAACAATACAAAATTATATAATATAACAATAAACATAATGCTATGACTCTGGTTTGTCGCTGAAAGACTGTGACTTCATTGCACCAATAGTTTGTGTGACAGATGTAACATCACTGATTATCATCTGAGCTATCTTAATCGCCATCTCCTCTTCTTCCTATCAAATATAGAATTATTTCATTGTATACAATATATATAGAGCTATCTTAATCCCCATCTCCTCTTCTTCCTATCAAATATAGAATTATTTCATTGTATACAATATATCTAGAGCTATCTTAATCCCCATCTCCTCTTCTTCCTATCAAATATAGAATTATTTCATTGTATACAATATATATAGAGCTATCTTAATCCCCATCTCCTCTTCTTCCTATCAAATATAGAATTATTTCATTGTATACAATATATCTAGAGCTATCTTAATCCCCATCTCCTCTTCTTCCTATCAAATATACAATTATTTCATTGTATACAATATATATAGAGCTATCTTAATCCCCATCTCCTCTTCTTCCTATCAAATATAGAATTATTTCATTGTATACAATATATCTAGAGCTATCTTAATCCCCATCTCCTCTTCTTCCTATCAAATATAGAATTATTTCATTGTATACAATATATATAGAACTATCTAAATAGCCATCTCTTCTTAATATCAATTAACAACTATCTTATTGTATACAATATTATGAAATAGTAATGACAAAAAATGAAGTGAATGAAAATAAATAGTTTTTAAAAGTATGCACTGTAGAACAGATGTATGTAATAAGATGTGTAAATGAAGTTTTATTTATTAGTTATAATCTTTTGTGAGTTAAAATTGAATGTCTTTAATGATTTTTTAATTTAAGATAATCTCAACAGATCCTATACAAATGACATTTGGTGGTCTCCAAAAGTAAGCATGCTTTCCTGGGTAAGATGTTGTGGGTTCTTTCCCAAGCCAGGTCAAACTTCTATTGGCTAGGAGTCAGAATAATGTGTCCAGTTACCATAACATGTCTTCCTGTTGACTATTTCCCTGCGAGTTAGCATATAAGATATCTGAATAAGTGTTTTAGACTAGTACAAAGCAAGGTATCTTCAAATTACATTAACATGTCCAGACTATGTATGTAATATTTGCTGTTGTACATTAAACAGTCATCAAACAATCAGATACAGCATTTCAATCAATCTTATTTAATTTTTCAATATCCTGATGACTGTTGCATTGGAAAGGAAAAAATTACAGGTAGTATAAATAGTGGAGCAGGATCTACTTAACCTTCCAGAGCACCTGAGATCACCATGAGTTTTTAGTGGGGTTCATGGTACTCAATCTTTAGTTTTCTATGTAATGTTTTGTGGACTTTTCTGTCTAACGTTCTTTTTTCCATGGTATTGTCAGCTTATTTTTGACTTTTGGGTTCTGAGTTCCCTTAGTCTTTTCTACCTCTTTTTATGAGAAAATTTTAATTTTCAAATACTGTGAAAGTACTTTTATTCGTGGGGTGCCAATTTTCGTGATTTTTGTGTATGGCTTAATCCACGAATTTAAGTACCCAACGAAATATAACAACTGTTTGTCCAAATTAGGACATGGCAAGATCCCCATATAGGTTTGACTATATGGATACAGGCATATAATCTAGAGAGTACATCGAATATCATCAAACTATTTATGAACTATATATACAACTTCAGACATGATTTTACCCATTTAATCTTTTAAAAAACTTACATGACTTTTAACCTTTTAATGCTCATGCAAAAATAGTTTTGATCGATAAAAGTCAGACTTCCGTTGATGATATGCATTGATGATGTGTTCATTTTACCTCCTCATAATTCCCAAACAAAAAAATAGTCACTTCAAATAGGGCTTGTTTTTTTATTTCATATGAATTAATTCTACAATTCAAAGTACATCTGTTACAAGCATTTCTTCATGTAATCGTTTTCTTCATGTGACATGTTTATGGCCCAATTAACATCTTTGATGATCGTTAATCTGTTGATCCTTTGATCTCGGGTTAATTAGAGTCCACGCGTGCAACACAATTAAAATGTTTACTTTCCAATTTCCTTTAATCAAGACAACTTGTAGTCACAGATGAAGCAGCTTATTTCCGAAAGCATTATTTTATTAAAAATTTGATGAATATTGTCAGTAATGAAAGACGAACAAATAATGGAAATGAACATCTCATTTTGCAATGTTCCACAAATCATGTTTCTGATGTCTTCAAATTCTTCACTCAATTTTTTTTCTTCAGAAACCTAAAATCCATGAATTTAAGAACCCGCAAACATGTAACGTTTGCTCAAACCACGAAAATTGATACCCACGAATAAAAGTACTTTCACAGTAGATGAGAAAAACACTAAAACAGTAAATAAATATCTTTTTTTTTCATTTCATTTCTCATTCACAAAAATATTAAATACAAAGTTGTCATACATTATCTACTATCCAATCAAATTTAACCATAGTTTACTATACATATTAAGTCAAAAAATTATTTATATTTATATTCCTTTTAGATAACAATTAAACCAACCTTTTCTTTTTCTTTGCTTTTTCTGAAAAACCCTGTGCCTAAAATTATAAAGTAACAACAAAACATTAATATTGAAAAGCATTTGTCCATCAATTAATACACACCTATTTATTTGTTACTAGGTTGATGAAGAAATGCATATGTTGTTTATGGATTGCAAATTGTTTGTTGTTATACTACAATAAAATTTTAATTCTTTAAGACTTTTTTTTTACTTAACATCTCTTGGAATACTTTTTGTAGTAACAGTTCTTCCCTTTGGTAAAACATTATGTTTACATGTACCTACAAGGAAACTTTCAACATGTAACTTCAATTAAAGATGCTACCGTTATCAATCTTATTTTTCAGTAAAGAATAACTACTTTTTCAATATTTCAATGAAGTGAGAAAAAAAATAAGATTTTGAAAATTAAGCTTTGTGAAAAAAGTAGAACTAATATATGGATGGTCAAGAAAGATGGTTTATTTGTATGATTTGATTGATACACATGAATACCTCTGTAAGAGTGTGCCAAATATAAAAGGTATAACATAGGTATTTTTCAATAAATATAAAATTGAGAATGGAAATGGGGAATGTGTCATAGAGACAATAACCCGACCAAAGAGCAGAAAACAGCTGAAGGCCACCAATGGGTCTTCAACACAGCGAGAAAATTCCGCACCCGGAGGCCGGCTTCAGCTGGCCCCTAAACAAAAATGTGTACTACCCGGTAGTTCAATGAAAATAGATGTCACACTAAACTCCAAAACATATAAATGAACTAAAATTAAAAAACATACAAGATTAATAAAGGCCAGAAGCTCCTGACTTGGGACAGGCGCATAAATGCTGTGGGGTTTAACATGTTTTGTGAGATCTCAACCCTCCCCCTTTACCTCTAGCCAATGAAGAATAAACAAACACACAGCAATACGCACAGTAAAACTCAGTTTAAAAGAAGTCTGAGTCCGATGACAGAATAGGTAACAAAAGAAACTAAGCAAAATGACAATGATACATAAATCAACAAAGGACTACTAGCAGTTACTGACATGCCAGCTCCAGACCTCAATCAAACTGATTGAAAGATTATGTCTTCATCATATGAAAATCAAGCACAATCCCTTCCGTTAGGGGTTTAGTATCATACCATCATAAAATATATGAGAAGAACATAACCCGTATCATGCCAACAATTGGTTTTAGAATAAATGTGTTTATTTTCCAATGCAAATACCCAATGAGTGAATCGATAATAATACCAAAATATGCCATCTTTAATGACCTGACAACAGTATCGTAACTATATCCCTTCTGAATAAGTCTGTTTAAAGGTTTGGTTACTTATATGACTATTTTCATAAATTCTGATTTGATCTTTTTTTGTGATTATTTTTCATGTTATATCATGCTACTCACATGATATGGGTATTTCTCAGTCGAGTAGAGAAGAGAATGTATGACATCATGAGCCTACATCATTGATGACATCATGAGCCTACGTCATTGACATTGATGTTGCCCGTAAACGAGATTTTAGCTGAAAAACTTTTTAAAATACCATCGATAATCAATAATTATCAGATTTAGATTCTATTTCCTAGTTTTACCTTTAGGTTTTTCTTTATCTTTATCTGGATGAGGATCAAATTCTGATTTAAACTGTCCAAACCCGTCTACAGTCCCCATTACCATTCTGTAAACATAAATAAGACATGGTCATGTAATAGAGATGAGTTACAATGTTTTAGAATGAATAGATGTTTTACCTTGTTCATTATATTCCTCACTTTGAAATAGTAGACTTTCAAAAATGTAGAATTTCAGGCCTGACAAGAATTTTTTTAAATTGAAAATTTATTGAGTGAATGAATAAGTTAATCAATGGCCTAACATTGGAAAATCTGTTTCTCTTATGATTTAATGAAACTAGAGGCTCTAAAGAGCCTTTGTCGCTCACCTTGGTATATGTGCATATTAAACAAAGGACACAGATGGATTCATGACAAAATTGTGTTTTGGTGATGGTGATGTGTTTGTAGATCTTACTTTACTGAACATTCTTGCTGCTTACAATTATCTCTATCTATAATGAACTTGGCCCAGTAGTTACAGTGGAAAATATTTTGTAAAAATTTACAAAAATTTACAAAATTTATGAAAATTGTAAAAAATTGACTATAAAGGGCAATAACTCCTTAAGGGGTCAATTGACAATTTTGGTCATGTTGACTTATTTGTAGATCTTACTTTGCTGTACATTATTGCTGGTTACAGTTTATCTCTATCTATAATAATATTCAAGATAATAATAGAAAAGCTGCAAAATTTTCTTAAAATTACCAATTCAGGGGCAGCAACCCAACAACGTGTTGCCTGATTGGTCTAAAAATTTCAGGGCAGATAGATCTTGACCTAATGAACAATTTGATCCTGTCAGATTTGCTCTAAATGCTTTGGTTTCAGAGATATGAGACAAAAACTGCATTTTACCCTATGTACTATTTTTTAGCCATGTCGGCCATCTTGGTTCACGGGCGGGGTCATCGGACACATTTTTAAAACTAAATACCCAATGATGATTGTGGACAAGTTTGGTTAAATTTGTCTTAGTAGTTTCAGAGGAGAAGATTTTTGTAAAAGATTACAAAAATTTACGAAAAATGGTTAAAAATTGACTATAAAGGGCAATAACTCCTTAAGGGGTTAACTGACCATTTTGGTCATGTTGACTTAATTGTAGATCTTACTTTGCTGAACATTATTGCTGTTTACAGTTTATCTCTATCTATAATAATATTCAAGATAATAACCAAAAACGGCAAAATTTCCTTAAAATTACCAATTCAGGGGCAGCAACCCAACAACGTGTTGCCTGATTGGTCTGAAAATTTCAGGGCAGATAGATCTTGACTTAATAAACAATTTTACCCCATGTCAGATTTGCTCTAAATGCTTTGGTTTCAGAGATATGAGCCAAAAACTGCATTTTATCCTATGTACTATTTTTTAGCCATGTCGGCCATCTTGGTTTGCAGGCGGGGTCATCGGACACATTTTTTAAACTAGATACCCTAATGATGATTGTGGACAAGTTTGGTTAAATTTGTCTAAATAGTTTCAGAGGAGAAGATTTTTGTAAAAGATTACAAAAATTTACAAAAATGGTTAAAAATTGACTATAAAGGGCAATAACTCCTTAAGGGGTCAACTGACCATTTTGGTCAAGTGGACTTAATTGTAGATCTTACTTTGCTGAACATTATTGCTGTCTACAGTTTATCTCTATCTATAATAATATTCAAGATAATAACCAAAAACGGCAAAATTTCCTTAAAATTACCAATTCAGGGGCAGCAACCCAACAACTGGTTGTCAGATTCATCTGAAAATTTCAGGGCAGATAGATCTTGACCTGATAAACAATTTTACCCCATGTCAGATTTGCTCTAAATGCTTTGGTTTCAGAGATATAAGCCAAAATATACATTTTACCCCTATGTTCTATTTTTAGCCATGGCGGCCATCTTGGTTGGTTGGCTGGGTCACCGGACACATTTTTTAAACTAGATACCCCAATGATGATTGTGGCCACGTTTGGTTTAATTTGGCCAAGTAGTTTCAGAGGAGAAGATTTTTGTAAAAGTTAACAGACTACGCCGGACGACGACGACGGGCTAGGTGAGCTAAAAAATCAAAGTATCTATCCTATTAGATTTAGCAGGAAAATTCTTGCCAACAATTTTATCAACATGCGGTTTTATCAAAAATATTATCTAATTGGACAAAACCAATTTAAATGCTTTTTGCATTAGAGACATTGCTATCATATTCATCAGTATTATATATGTGCAAAGACTATATATAAGAATTTAATGCTTCTTTTTGTAATTTTATTGGGGTGTTAAAGGGTTGACCAAAGCACATTTTGCATGAAGCTCAAAAGTGTTTCATACTAAAACTGTGTGCATGATCAACGATTTAACAAACCTATAAAATTACAAAAAGAAGCATTAAATTCTTATAATCACATTTTTATGCTACAATCATAAAATTAACAGTTATATCAAATGTTTCCTTTGCTTTCCTATGCACTGATGTGCATGAAGTTTTCACGGGAAGCACATGCCTCCATAAATTTTGCATTATATTGGGAAATATAATCTAAATTTGAATGCCTGGCGATTGTTGTCTGCAAATCAAAATTACCCATTAAGATTATTCTGTATCTGTAAAGATTCTCCCAATGTGGGCACACCTCCAATAAAGCAGAATAAAATAGTGTCCTTCACCACACAATATTATAAGTTAAGAATATGTCCAATCCACTACACAATAATATATTTATAAAAATGACTTCTTCTGTTCCGCCTACGTTATGTACAATTAATATATAATTTCACAATAAAAAGATAAAAGTATCTTTATTTTTAATCCGTATGCACCCATATAATAACCAAAATTTATTATTGGTTGATAACTGTCTATTTGATTTTTGTGAAACATACATGTAATTCAATTATTCATTCCTAAAATTAAGACAAAGTATTGCACTCCTATTGTTTCATATGGCTCTATAGTGAATTCATAATGACTCCTTTATAACATTTGACCTGCACATGAAAATATATGATCATATGTATAAAAATATTTGACCTAATCGAATCAAGCAGTGACCTCAGTTTTTCGTTCATATTAGTCTATATACATATTGTGTCTGCTGTTGAAGACAGTATGTTGACCTCCAGATGTCTTTTTCCTTGTATTGTTGGGTTGCTGTCTCATTGATAAATGACCTATATCTCCTTTTATTCATTCTTAAAATTATCAACTACCTATCTGTTGTTATCGCACCTCACGTAAATTAGTAACCTTGTGATTGGTTTTAACAACATCAAGTGGTGACCCCCTTTGGATCTGTACGGGGTCAGTAGATTTCATACGGGTATCATGACGTCACGTCTACTATTAATGATGACATCACTTTTTAATGTTATTGTATTTCATTGTTTATTTTTATACAAAACTTGTCAGGAAATGTCCTGTGTGTGATAAATTTATTATACAGTTCATTACTGAACCCCTACGGATCAAATGGTAAGTAAAATTCATAGGGGATTCGGCCTTCAGCTTCACCCCTATGGATTTTACTAACCCTCTATCGATCCGTAGGGGGTCAGTAGCAAACCATATTACTTATATTATGTTCTTCAATTTTACTGTACAGACCAATGTTAAACAAACCATATTTATTTTTTTCCGTTTTATACACGTTTCAAGTAGCTATGATAAAGGGCAAGCTCACAGATGGAAGAAATTTTGTTTGGCTGTTTTTTAAGTACGTTAATCCTAGATTAACTTTTCATTAAGAAAACTCCGACAACCAAATAGAGCCAATTATTAGATAAGTCATTACAAAAGAGGGTACAAACATGTGCATTTTATCCTCTTTTACAACATCAATTATACAATTATTATCAGTTAATCTACATGCCATACAGTTAAACAACTCACTTAGGATTGTCCCGTTTCCATAATAAATCAGGATTCAGGAGACCAGGATCAATGTTCATATCATTTTCAAACTTTCTCATTGCACGTCCCAGCGGAAGACTAGTACCTGATGCAAGTAATGTATTACGTGTGGTACTCCGTACACTCTCTCCACTGTTTGTACTACTGTCTTGTGAAGCATCACTATCTATAATGTTAAAATATTACTGTAAGAACTCATTTGCTTTCAATTTTAAAATGTTTAAGATGTAGGAAAATATTTGTATGTATGAAAATATATGGTAATATATTGACATTCTGTCGGTAAAATCTTTTTGTCATTTATTGGATTTATCATAAATCAGGCTGTAGACTTTTGGTTTTCTAGTTTACTATACGGTACAGGTTTTGCTCATTGTTATAGGTTGCACATTGACCTAAAGTTGCTTACATTCAAACTATTTGGTATCTCCTTATTTTTAAATAGGTTTGTAAACTTGTGTCTTATCCCTTTTGCTGTTTTTTGCAAATAAAAAATGTTTAAACTGAACAATACTAAAAAAAAGGGTAAGAGACTCTTGGCTTTTCATTTTGGTTTTAAAGTAAAAGTGTTTGATGTAATTGGGTTAAATGATTGATTGTTGGTTGCTTAACGTTCACTGGCAAATATTTCATGCATGTTCAGGATGATCAGGCTAAATGAGTTCCAATACTAATATCTCAAAAGTAATGTTTATCTCATTTTTCAGACCCCAAGGGTGACTGGGGAATAGAAATATGGTCACTTTGGTATTCTCATTTTCCAGTGACAGTCCAAATTTTCTAACCTTCCTCCCGTACTGCCTCTATTACAGGACCTACTAATTGTATTTATTTTTATTTTGTTCTCGTCCAAAACATACATGAAATATTTGCAACTGGATATTAAGCAACCAACAATCAATCAATGATATTCAGTGTTGTTGTCAAATCTTTGCCTTCCCCTTAGATTGTGCATAAGATGGTTACCGTAATCCTTCTAAAAATTATTTTCTTCAAATTTGACAAAGAAAAGATGATTATACAACTTAAAAGATATCTATCTACCTGAAATCTGTAATTTTCATACAAAAAAGTTCAAAAGAAAATTAAGATAATGTATATTATTATCAATAGTAATGGGTAACAGTTAGTACTAACCAGTACGTTTTCGTTGCCTTGGTAACTCTCTTGTGGAATGTACAGTACCAACCAATTCAGACAAAAATTTATAAAATATTTCACTTCGACGGAAATCAGAAAAGTAAACCTGCAAATATATATAAATATATTCATGCATGCGTAGATCCAAAATTACTTAATATTTTAGTTCTACTGAACATGTAAATATTTTAAAGATGTGTCATGTTATATGGTTGGTTGAAAACTTTTCATAATGTGTCATTTAGATGTGTGAACTATTGCTGTTTTAATACACATGAAAATGTTTTAGTAGTAGTAATGTTATTTATTTTGTTGGACTTTTTTGTTTAACTGCACATGAGAATGTCATTTGTTAGTTTAATGAACTGCCTTTCGTTATTGCACATGATGTTTAAGTGAAATGCCACATTATACAGTAAGCTAGATGTTTGAAGTTTAACTGTCTATGAGAATGTTCTCATGATGTGTTATTTTATAGGATTGAATACACCTTATCACTGCTTATTCCAATCAAGATAAGTTCTGAAATAACACAACTTCAATACATCACAAACCAGTTGAAGCTATCTTGGGCCCAGTTTTGTATAAAACTTTTCAAAGAGACATGGTTAAACTATCGGACATACTTCAAACTAAGCATTTTTATTACTTTAATTTGTGTTGCAAACAATTTGTACATAATCTATTAAATTTTTGAATAACGCTTTCTAAACTTTTTCATCCCTCTGCTTATTACTGATGACCTTCGTTTTTGCAACACTTCAAACAAACAGAAAGTAGTCTAAGTGACTGTTTTTTCTCGGATTGGACTAAAACAGATCTACAGTAACTGTCAAATAAATGTTGCATTTTCAATTACCTTCTCTATAGTTTTTAAGACCATTTCTCTTGGCTTAGAGAAACAATCAGGTAAAGGCCCTTCTTCTCGACATATATTACATTCAACATCAAATCTACATTTATCATCAAATCCTAAAGGATGGGTTGCTTGTAGTGAAAAATATCTGAAAAAAAATACAGGTCTGTCATTTTGGTCAAATATTTTTACATACAATAGTCACATAGCTGTTTGATCATTTTCTGTTCACATCTAAAATAGTAATATTTTATATAAAGAAGTAAGAGTTATTCTTAAACATGTGGTTCCAATCCCCGTTTTGAAAAAAGATCATTTAATAGACCAATCTCAAGTTGTTTTTTATGAATAAGTTATTTTACTTTTTACACCAGTTGACCCGAGGTCAATCAGCATAACTGACATTGAACACATCAGTTCTTATTGTAACATAATAACAAAAGCATTGTGACATAGAAAATGTACAGGAAAGTGCACTAATTTGAAAGTAGTCTAACTCCTGTTATTCTTTATAAACTCATCATAGATACCAAGATTAAAATTTTGTATGCCATATGCATGTTTCTTCTACAAAAGACTCATCAGTGACGCTTGAATCAGAAAAGTTAAAAAGGCCAAATAAAGTATGAAGTTGAAGGCCATTGAGAACCCAAAATTAATTCCGAATTGTTTTGCCAAATACATTTGGGTGTAGACCAAGTGAGAACCCACCATATTTGTTAATAATGTCAATACCAATAGAAAGATTACTAGCAACTAAAAAAAAGGAACTTTGTCCAGTGAGCTCATAAAAACTTACTTATCATAAAGAACCATTGCATCAGCTTGAGCCTGCATGCCGTCATAACCTGATTCATGTGACCTCAAATGTTTCTCAAAATTTTCTACAGCTATCCAGAACTGTAATATATTACTTCCTCCTTCTTGTTCCATGTACTATACAACAACAAAAATGATATGATTATGATATATAAATTTTAGAACATTATTAGTTTCTATTAATAGCCTAATTTCATGCAAAACCAAGTCATACAATTACTCAAAGAAATTCTTTTGAAATCTGGCTTAAAATTCTAATTACAGTGAAATGAACCATTCTATAACCCTAAATTACAAACATGTATCTTACACATTGAATGTTAAGCATGCAGCAATCTATCAATCAATCTTACACATCATTCAAGCTTAATTGCATGAACAAATAAAATGCTAAACATAAATAATTTATTTGAACAATTCTCTTTACAAGACAGCTTGCATGATTAATATCACAGTTAAGGCAACATGACATGATCTTACTATTTTGTCTTCAGTTTAAACATGTTTTCCTTTCTGTAATAGAAAACAGGATGAAAATTTTGATCAGAGGGAAAATCAGATATCTTATTTTCAGACCAATTTGGTATTTATCTACATGAAATAGAATAAAACATGAGTTCAAACACATAGAACAAAGAAGTAATGGTTATAAGACATAATGTGCTCCTTATATCCATGAAATAGAAAATTGCATGATCATCTATAATATAGGAAATTCAACCAGCATATAAGACAACTGGTTACCAGATCTTTCTGCTACTTACCTCCATGAAATAGAAGAAAGCAGGATCATAATACAGGAAATCAGAGAGGTATATATGACCACTGGTTACCAGATCAATCTGGTACCTCAAGTGAAATTCACTTCCATTGTAGCTAGGAAAGTGTCTGCAATGAATGTACATATTTGTTTATTTTAAAGAAAAACACTTTGAAAATATTTTGAACAGATTAAAAAATAAAAATATTTTAGATTCATTATTTCTAAATTTGGTCTTGAAAATTTTGAGGTTTTTTGTATACAAACTTTGCTTTGCCGGTAAATGAATTTTATATACAACATGTACAAAAAAGGCATTTCACATGAACATCCTCTATATTCTTCTTTTATAGACTGTACGTCATAAAGTTCTGAGCCATAAGCAGATAAAAGAATAGAATATACATTTTTTCAAACTATGTCGAGCTAATTTAAAATAGTTTCATGATACTGTCTCATGCCAAATTACATTACACAAATTTGTTGGAGTCTTAAAAATTTTCAAAAATCAAAACAATGTCCTGATCATGAGAAGTTGTAGTACCAAAAAATTAACTTAAACATTAATAAAAACCATCAAAGTAATGAAAAGTTGCTTCATTTGATAAATGTACACTCAAGAATAACTGATTCATTTTAACACAGATTAAACAATTTTTAAAAGAATAACAACATTGCAGAAATTAAGTAAAATATCATAGAAAACAACAACTTTAAAGGTCTTAAACCTCCTCAATTAAAAATGATTTGATTTATTTTTAACAACTTAGTATGACAACTCCAGTACCAGTAAAAAATGAAGTGTAAAAACTGTACACATGGTTAAGGAATCCAAAGTGAATTATTCCTTATTATCTGTGAAAAAAAAAAAAATATTCTGCAATATTCATTCTTTAACATGTTTAAGAAAAGAACAATTTCTTAAAAAGGATTTCTTTTGGTTCTAGAATGATACAATAAAATTTGGAAAGAATTAATTTTAAAATTGACATCTAGCCATTTTCTATGTATTTTTCAAATACTCTTCTTTGTTGCTATAAAATAACATTTTTAAATACATTTTTCTATATTTGTCATATTTGTATGGAAAGCAGATACCGTAAAACAAAATAATATAAATGTCCTATACCTCATAAAGAACTCATTTATACTCCTATACCTCTTAAAGAACTAAATTTTATACTCTGCTACCTAAATAAGATCTAACTATCAGCATTAGCCAGAAATCCTATCTACTCCCAACTCCAAGGTTAATAAATTACTTATTCAATTCCTACTCCAAGGTTAATAAATAACTTACTCTGATTCTATTTTGGAAACTGAAAATTCCTTCTCTCAGGTAAATAAATAACTTACTCCGATTCTATTTTGGAAACTGAAAATTCCTACTCCCAGGTTAATATTATTTAAAATAACTTACTCCGATTCTATTTTGGCTTCTGAAAATTCCTACTACAAGGTTAATAAATAACTTACTCCGATTCTATTTTGGAATCTGAAAATTCCTACTCCCAGGTTAATAAATAACTTACTCCGATTCTATTTTAGAAACTGAAAATTCCTACTCCCAGGTTGATAAATAACTTACTCCGATTCTATTTTAGAAACTGAAAATTCCTACTCCCAGGTTTATAAATAACTTACTCCGATTCTATTTTGGAAACTGAAAATTCCTACACCCAGTTTAATAAATATCTTACTCTGATTCTATTTTGGAAACTGAAAATTCCTGACAATCAACAAAACAATCAGGATCAACCTCTCCATCTTCTCGACAAATTTTACCTGCAAAATACAAGTAATGTCATATATAAGTTTTTTATTCAAATTACACAAACAAAAGTTATTTTATACTTTTAACATCACTAGAAGAGAAGGAGATCAATCACATTAGGAATATCATGAAAAATCAAATTTTCAATTATCTCTCATAACTTACGACATATTTGTTTTTTATTATTGTTTTGTACATAAATCAGGTCATTAGTATTCTTGTTTGAATCGTTTTACATTTGTAATTTCAGGGCCTTTTATAGCTTACTATGCAGTATGGGTTTTGCTCATTGTTGAAAGCCTTACAGTGACCTATAGTTGTTAACTTCTATGTCATTTGGTCTCTGGTGGAGATTTGTCTCATTTGCAATCATATCACATCCTTTTATTTTTATATTGTACAGTTTATTTTTACTCTGGACATTTGTCTCTCTCTCTATATATATATAATTACATTTTAAGTATGTTAAATCAAAATCCAGACTTTTGATTGGTTTAAATCAATCGCAAGGCATTCCAATATTAAATTGTATTTCTCAATGACAGCACATGCTTCTCATGACAACAATGCATATGAAAACAAACACAAAATGTGCTATAACTTGTAATTTTATGGTTGTAGTATAAAATGTAATTATAAGAATTGAATGCTTCTTTTTGTAATTTCATAGAGTTATAAAAGCATTGTTTGTGCACACATTTTTAATATGAAGCGCTTCTGCTAATATTGTTCAGTTATTTTATGCTTTGGTCAATGTTAATTTATATCTATTACAATTTGTATATATATACAATATTAGGTCAATGTCAGAAAAATATAAACTTTTTTGTATGAGGCTGAGAAACTGGGGAAGGGCGAGGTTTTACCGAGCCCATCCACAGTTTTGTGCCAAATACAAAAAGTTTATATTTTTATGACATTGACCTAATATTGTTTTTATACTGCAACTTAAATTATTACATTGATAGCTATTTAAATTGTAACACAAATGTCAGACTTATTTTCATCCCTTAATGAACCCCTGTTTGTGGAGAAAGTGTTCCACGGTGAAATTGACATAGCACGAAATATAGCTGTGTTACTATATTTAGGAAATAAACACAACTAGTTGCAGTATAAATATCTATATTGTAACTTACTAATACATTCCTGTCTAAGTACATCATCAACTCCTATAGGGTCTGTGGCATCTTTGGATAAATATTTGGAAAAAATTTGAACTGCATCATTTTCTATACCTAAAATAAATATTGTGAAGTATTATATTATCTATTCCTATGTATTTTAATTTGCATGATAAACATAATGATTGATCCATTATGCTACTATGCGTTACATCTTATATCATGTTTATAATCCATATGCTTCAAACATGACAACTTTTTTGTGTTTGAACAAGAGCTTTCCATTATCTGATTATCATAATTATTGAAACAGGTTATCCATCATCACCACATCTTTAAAGAAAACTAAAATGAATAATAATATAAAACTACAATGCATACATGGCATATGTTAACTACTGCAGCAATCTTTAAAGTAAGTAATACAAAATAGAGTATATAAGACATGATTTACCAAAAATTATCAAGCTATTTTGAGACTAAACAACATGTAAATATGTGTATGTGTACATATGTAGGCACTGTCATCAATTGATGTAATATAGTGTGATTTATTTTATTGTTACATATCAAAAATATTGAGAAACTTTTACAATTAAATAAGGTTGGCCTAGTGGACCTTTCTACAAATTTTTGGTGTGTTATAACATTATTTTAATGCACTATTTATAGTATTTGAGTCCTGGACTTATAAAGTTGAAGAACAAGGCTCTGTTGAGTCCTGGACTCAAAAACATAATAAAGCTGAAAAAAAAGGCTACAACAAGTCCTGGACTCATAAAGTTAAATAACAAGGCTCAAGTGAGTCCTGGACTCATAAAGTTGAATAACAAGGCTCTGGCGAGTCCTTGACTCAAAAATATAATAGAGCTGAATAACAAGGCTACAGCAAGTCCTGGACTCATAAAGTTTAATAACAAGGCTCCAGTGAGTCCTGGATTCAAAAATATAATAAAGTTGAATAACAAGGCTCCAGCGAATCCTTTACTGATAAAATTGAATAATAAGGCTATTTGACAATATATACATGTAGACAACTTACTCTTTTTTAATTTATCTGTCAAACTTGGACTGGAATATTTAGTAGAATGACTTTTTATTGCTGAGTCTTTGACAATTGGTTCAAAAACATCAGAATTAGGAGATTCTGGACATTTTTGACTATCTACACAAGCACTATCGGTTATAGGTTTTGATTTAAGTAAAGTCTGGCAAGAAGGTGGCACATTCTGAATTACCTCCCCTTCAGTATTTGTTAATGACTCTCCTGAAGGTGAAATATTTTCAGTTACTTCCCCTTTTAAATCTTTGGCACTGGGTTTTATCACAGATATGTTGTCATCATTACTCTGAACATTTTCAGAGGTTGTAGTATCACATTCAGAATATCCATCTATTCGTTGGTCATCAGACAGACCAGAAAGCTGACATTTTTGTGTAGATTCTTCTTGATTGCACACTGAATCACATTTTTCTTTTTCACTTGAACTTTGTTGCTTCTTTTTGAATGCAAGGCTTCTTATACGACTCCATGTGGAAGCCTTAAAACTCTGAGCATCTAACCAAAATCTAAGAAACTTGCTGGCTTTTCTGTCCTCAAGAAACTGTATGAAGTGTCCCAAGGAATTTTTGTCGTGGAGAATTTCTTGAAGTGTTTTACAGAGTTGTGAAGATTTTTTGTGTAACGACTCAAAATCTGTAAAATTATACAAATGAATATTAACAAGATTGCTACGACATAGTGAAAAGTTCCCCATTGCTGTGTAAATGAGGAATAAAATTGTGTGTACAGTATAGAATTGTGTGTACTGTATAGAATAGTGTGTACTGTATAGAATTGTAGAACAGGATCATAGATTAAATTGTAAAGTGTATTTCAAGCTTTTGTATTTGATCTTGCTATTCAGAAGGCAGAAGGGGCCTCGGTGGCCGAGTGGTCTAAGTAGTTGAACCACTGTGTCATTAACCTGTCAACACTGACGTTGAGTTAGAATACCGCATGTGGCAGGTGCACTCGACTTCAATCTTATTTGACTAGGATTGTCAGTTTTCCTACAGAAGGTCGGTGGTTCTCTAGGGACTCCAGCTTCCTCCACCAATAAAAATTGACCACCACAAAATAGCACAGTAGTGCTGAAAGTGGCATGAAACACCCATCAATCAATCAATCAATCAATAGACAAAACATAGTGTCATTGTGGTCAATAGTTGAAAAAATAGTCATTAAATGGCGGAATAATAATGATGGTATAATATGGTCGACTACATATACTGTGGATTCTTTTATTCGCAGGTACAAATTGTTCGTGGTTTGAGGGAAAATTGTATTTTTATGGATATTTGATTTCGTGGTTTTGCCTATGTTTGCATGGTTTGCTATAAATTTTCATTTCGTTAATCATTTACATTCGTAGTTCACCTATACCCACAAAAGTGGTCATTACTCCAGTAAAATGGACACATCAAAATAACAGAATTATATGGTCAATTACACATAATGGTAAGCACTTGTACCCAGTTGTTGAGCTTTCTATCAAAAGGTCTCAAAGAGATGTGTTCTAAAGGTATCATTGTTGTAGGATAGTCCAAATAAAGTCCTTTTAAATTGGTTTTTCAATAACAAATGTTTGAACAAAATATTACTTTTTTTTTCCCAAAAAGAATGATGGCAATACTCTTTGTCCTCTTTACCAGGTAATACATGCCAAATATTAGCTATAATTATATTCATCTATTGATGCTGATTTTTATCCACATAAATGGAACATTACCATTCAGTTACATACATACAGATATAATTGTTATTACACTTACTTTCATCTTTGGACAGTTCATCATCTGGAAGAATCTGGCCTAGTGCTACAAAATTATCAAATATCATATGAAAACAATTGGCCTTTTAAGAATCTAAAGGACTATGGGTAATTTTATAGTTTGTACCCGTAAATGAATATAACTTCCTGTCATTGGTTGACTTGCCATTGTCATGATTGTTTAGGATGTTTTTTAACCAATCACAATGTTTTGGTGTACACTTTTGAATACATTACCCATAATGCATTAGATTCTGAAATAGTGAATCAGATTGAAAGATTGATGATCGATTGTTTGATTGCTTGCTTGACGTCAAATGTAGATTGAAAGAAATATTTGAAGATTCTATTATCTAAATTTATAATTTAATGAAGTTATTCAAGTTTTATGGGGACTTGTGGTTCAGGGGGGAAACTAAACATAAAGATAAACTTTCAATGCTCAAATATTTTCAGTGACATCTTAATATTCATCACAGGAGTCAAATTGGAAAATTATCATCATGATCATAGAACAAATTATTGACCTCATTAATCAAATAAGTTAGGTGATTAATGTTAATGTAGGGAAAAAAATATGGACATTCAGATAAGTTAAGAAAGAATGATTTTATCATTTTCAAACGAATAAGAAAAAAAAAACATTTGTCATTTGTCTCGAGTCATTGTGCAATATTTACACACCATGCAAAATTTTGTAGGAGAGATCTTTGAAATTTTATATGTTGTAAAGTGTTATTTCTGTGAATATATGAGGTCCAAATTTGGGAAATTACATTGTCTGCACATTTTTGGGGGATTTTTTAAAAGAAATATACTTTCTAATTCAAAATACATATTGAACATTTTGAAAGCTAGTTCATATAAATATCAGAAAAATGGCAATACAAAATTATTGCAAAACAGATGAATACATCTTTTTTTCATATAACATGAAGCTTCAGTCAACATGGTCAAGCAAAGTATTTAACAATATTCAAAATTCACAGAAGAAAAGTCTAAATCTTAAAGTTGAAGACTATTGTGAATTTATTTATTTTCATGGGTACCAATTTACGTGGACTGAGGAACAATTGTATTTTCTTGGAGCTGCAAATAGTTGCTTACAAACCTAAAGAAAATTTATTCTTTGTTGAACATTTAAATTTGTGGTTTACCAACATAACCTATACCAATGAAATACAATCAAATTGGTATCCCACGAATAATAATGAATCCACAGTATATGGAAAACACTGCTTTTTGGTTATCACTGTTACTGATAATGTTAGCCATACATGTATTTGTTAACTAATGAGTAAAGATTAACTTACAAACAGTGCCATTAGACAAGTCTCTACTTCTGTTTGATGGAGTCCTCTTTAAACTGCCTGACTGTTTTACTTCTGGAGGTACTTTACTTTTATCTATTAAAATAACCAAATCATATATGGCAAAAATGTTCATGTTGTCCGTTGGTATGACAAAATCACCTTAAACTTGCTTTCATGTGTTACTTTTGTAAATTCAGAAATTTTTGCTGTTTTTATTATTGCAAAAATTGTGAAGGCATATGTAAATCTTTATAGCATTATTATATGAAATAGTAGTAATTAGTCTTGCATATTTTTCCAATGCACAACAATCCCAATAATTAATGCAAACATAAATTTCTGAAACTAAAATCTTTTCCAATAAGAAGTCCAAAGACCAATATTCGGACATTTTTCTTATACAATGTATGTTTACCTCTATTTTACCTGTACAAAAAAAATCTTGAACAAGTATCACTGACCCAGACTGACCCATAGAAATATATCAATTTTATCATTTATCACTTTTAAAGTTAGTCATGATCAACATGAATTCATGATCAATGTAATAAAGAAAATATTCCAATTAAGATAATTATCTTATTCTCTACTAACTTAGATTTCATGTCAAATTCTTTGATGAATGAAATAAAATGCTCCGCTGGGCGCAGCTTGATACGACCGCAGAGGTCGAACCCTGAACAGTTGGGGCAAGTATGGACACAACATTCAAGCTTGATACACACTGAATTTGGATTGTGATTAAATATTTGACACAGCATAGGTTTCTGACACAGAATGAATGTGGTCTAAGAACTTATAAATTATTAATTTACCTATTTCAACCATATCATTATTATTTGCTTTTACATATAAATCAGAAATAACCAATTTAAAATGGAAAATTTAAAAAAAAAAAAAAGGAAAAAAAAATCCCTCCCCCAAATTTTTTGAACCCCCTTATGATTCATCACCCCAAACTCAATCTAAGCCTTCCCTTTATGGTATGGTACCTTCCAGAACAATTTCAGAGATCCATACACAAGTTATTGTCTGGAAACTAGAAAAATGCTTGTTTTTTTTGCCCCCTTTTGGCCCCAAATTCCTAAACGTTTAGGGCAATTACCCCTAAACTCAAACCCAGCTTTCCCTTTGTGATATGGAACCTTGTAGTACAATTTCAGAGAGATCCATACTCTTGAACACAAGTTATTGTCATGAAACTAGAAAAATGCTTGTTTTTTACCCCTTTTTTGGCCCCTAATTCCTAAAATTTGGAGGCAATTACCCCCAAAATCAATCCCAGCATTCCCTTTGTGATATGGAACCATATAGTACAATTTCATAAAGATCTATACACTTAAACACACGTTATTGTCTGGAAACTAGAAAAATGCTTATTTTTGGCCCCTTATTCCTAAACGTTTTGGGCAATTACCCCCAAACTCAATTCCAGCTTTCCCTTTGTGATATGGAACCTTGGATTTTTTTTATTATTTATATGATACTTTACATGCTAAACATATTTTGAGTCACGTGGCTGATGTTCAGTGTCAAAGTTATCAACAACAAAAAAATTGACTGATTTATCAGCTTCTATCTCTGGTCTAACTTGTGATTTAGTTATTTTAGCATTACCATGCTTGTTAACTATTTTAATAGTATAGGTACCTATGTATTCTGTTATTGCTTTATTCATGGTTTCAAGAGATTGGCCCGGAATTTTTTATAACCAACTGATTCTTTTCTTGTAAGAATTATACTTCTTTTCATAGAAGCATAATGACGCTTAAGGATGAACAAATTAGAATCATGGTTGGAGTAAAGGACGTGTGTCCCATTTTGTATTGCTACAATAACATCCAATTAACACCTATATAACATCGACACGCGTCAGACTATACAATTACACGCGCCATCTGAATATACAATCATTGTAAATAGTGAACACCTGTTGAAAACTCAACATTGTCTTTAATTACCTTTAATCTTCAATCAACTTTAAACTATGCATACACATGATAAATATCGTTTAATGAGTCAATACACAAAACAAAATATTCACGTTTTAATAACATTTTCTTTTCTGGACATTGATTCACGAATAATGCATTTTGCATGCAGTCAGTTTATTATATTTTAGACATATATTTTAAATATATTTATTTTATTAATACTTTTTTTAAGTTTTCTTGTCGCTTCTTGACGCTAAATTTATTCTTCTTGTCGCTAATTAGTGAGACCGATTAATAATGGATCCTACAGTATATGATTTCGAGACAGAAATTTACTGTTCCATGTCTGGGTTGGCAATTTATATGATTTCTATATTGACTGTGCTCTGATGTGCTACTACCCAAGCAAGTATCAAAAAGACCATCAAATGTAAGACTAAGAGCAAATTGCCAATATTATACATGTATACAGGACCAACCAGTTGATGTAGATGGACATAAAATTCAAAGTGAAAGTTACATGTCAAGTTATTGATAATGAAATCTAATTGAATATCACATGTGCAATACTCGTGTGAAAATCTATAACTTGTCACTGTTACTTAAAGGCCAGGCAAAATAGTCTACTAACAATACTTTTTGCAGGAAACGCCTCCAACAGGACATATCTTATTTGAAATGTTCATTTGTTTCTTGTAATGACAGTACCTGTTTTCCTTCTAAATAAGGGCATTTTAATAAGCTATTCAAACATTGTCAGTTAACTTCAATGTAGCTTTGAATAAATTTGGAAATAGAAAATCTCATATCGTCAAGATTTCTATTCCATTTCGACTGGAGGCAGCCATATTTGTAGACAAAGTCATAGCAAATTGCAGAATAATGTAAAAGAAACGAATGATTTTTTTTAGGTCAATGATTTTATAGACTATTAGAGAAGAAACGAATATCGGTCAAAATCGCATGAAATAAAATGTAGTTGAATAAAAAAGCGGATAAACTATTAAAATACGTGTATATTTTAAAAACGTTTGAATCCTTATCTGAATAGGCTCAGTAAGTTGATTTTTTTAATGTTTGCCCTTTGGCATGGCTTTTTGTAATGACAAATTAAAAAAATTTAGAAAAAGTACACGAAAGAGCACTTCGTTTGTCTACGATGAATTTACCAGTTGAAATGAGGGTCTTCTGAATATAACTAAAGTACCGTCTTTGTAGATCAAAATAATACGAAATATGGCACTAGAAACATTCATTGACAAGATAAAAAAAAATAACATAGTAGCTTCTGTATGTTTCAAATTATTCGGTATGCATTGTACAATCACCGATATTAAAAATTCTTTATATGCCTTTTCAAGTATATTGGAGGTGCCTCAAGTTAAAACCTCAAGTTATGGTAAATTATTATTATACACTTGCATTCGTGACCAGCAAACAATAAACATCTATTTTTATACAAGCTTGTTCTTCTTCCAGTATTCTAAGTTCCAGTTCAGTGCAGTTCCAGCACAAAGTCATACAAGTATAACACGGTCACCCACATTACATATACAAACATCAGCAAGTCCAGTAACTCAGTCCAACCCAACCCAAACAAAGTTCACACTTATCTAATTTTTACCTTGTATTTTTTTTCATTTATAATATGTTCGTGATGCATTTCATTTTTCATTCCTCTTGTGTTTCACGCATGTCTATAATGGTATAGTTGCTATGCAATATTTTTGATGCCAAATTTTGAAATTATCTGATTAATACTTATAGTAATATTAATTTTAGTGAAATATGCTTTCATGCATGTGGTTTTGGTGTATTGATAGTTATGTGTTTTATATATTCAGACAAGTGCTCAATGAGATTGTGTTTTATTGTTATATATACATTCCGGATCAAATTAAAGTTGGCACTGGCTACGGTTACATTGAAATGTAACAATAAAAAAAAGTTTTTGTTACATTGGAGACTAATTGCCGGAATGCAAGGTTGGGTAAGGAACTAATTAATTACAATGTAACAATAATATTCGTGTCTACGGTTACGTTGTGTTATTGTTACATTATATTTGATCTTCTATAGTTTTGTCGCTTAATTCTTCGATATGTACTTGATAATAATAGTACTTATAATAATAATAAATATTATTATTGTTATTTATTTATTATTATTCAACAAATAGTGTTTAAATAGTTTAAGTATTAACTGTTTTAATGTTCTTCAAGATACTACTACAGTTTAGTTGTGCCAAAGGCGAACAATATAGTGCAATGGTTTGATGTTAAGAAGAAAAGTGTTCACTTCTATGTATTTAACTACACACCTACCCTTATTACTGTCATAATACTTTGAACAATGAATGAGGTGATTCCTATTACAAAATTTGTTTTGGTGAAAAATTTAAAACTTGGGATGCGTTTGAATCGAAACTAAACAATATCAAGACTCAAATTTTATACAGTTATACAAAGTTTAACGCAGTTCTAGAAAAAATTGATACGTCAAAAGCAAAGTTTGCTAGCAGTGAACTAAAAATCGGAGCTGAACATAACATCAGTAATGGACGGCACTGAAATTATATTAAAAGACAACATGAAACAACCTCATATGTTTCCAACAAAAATATTGGACGAAAATATAAACATCGCAAGAGTAAAAAATATTTTTCACCTGAAGACATGGCAGAAAGTTTCTATACCTTCAAAAAGGGATATTGCAGAGTGGAATTGTAGTCTGCAAAACCGACGTGCACATTGCTGCATCACTCGTTTGTGATGGCTGCCTACAGTGGTTTCACCAAAAATGCGTCGGACTGAAACATGTTCCCAAAGTCAAATACTGGATCTGAAGAAACTGCCTTTGTAAATAAAAATTCTAAAAATTGTATGCAATATTGTAAAATTCGAATAAAAGTTTTGAAGTTTTATTTTAATACATATTACTACTCCCAACATACATTGAAGTGCATTAACGTAACAATAACACAACGTAACCGTAGACACAAATATTATTGTTACATTCGTAATTAATCGGTTTCTTACCCGACCCTGCATTCCGGCAATTATAGTCTCCAATGTAACAATACCATCTTTATTATTGTTACATTCAATGTAACCGTAGCCAGTGCCATTAAAATTTTCTTATCTAAAATTATAGTATCTTAATTGGAGTAACTTGTCAGTTCTCCTTCCGATTAAACTTGAAATACGCAATCGGACCAGTTAAAGATACAGAATCGAGAATTTTAAATGTCAAACAACCAGAATTATTTTAAATGCAATTTGGTTGTGTAAACAGAAGCGTTACCCATCTTATTTAAGCAGTATATACATAGTTTGCTTTCTTAGTTAATCTTAATCGCATATTATTTTATCGTAAAGACAGTTTAATATCAAGATACAGAAATATTAAATACAGATATAAAAAGATATATCTGCACTTAAGTGCCTGTCTTTGTAAGAATAGGGAAATTTTGAAGAATTTCAAAACATGGTCGAAAAAAACCGCCGACCTAACCATCCTATTGTGAAGTTACCCTCATCCCGAGTTAGAACTGGTACGTCTTTCGTTTCTGCGTGTCTGGTAATTCGAGAATCTCTAGATAACTTTTAGTTAGAATGATTAAAAAAATATTAAAGAACATACTTTTATTCCATATAAATATATTCAACAGTAACAAGCAGAACAAACTTAATTTATAAAAAAGAGAATGCCTATTTCTAGAAATATAACATGTAGCTACATAAATATATACATGATATAAAAGCTGTTTGTAAATGTTCAAATCATTAAACCTACAACACTCATATGGTCGAATCTGTTAAGGAAACATGGTACAAAAACATGAACACAATTGCAACTGTGTGATAAAAATGCGATCATTTAAACGTTTATAGTAATTATTGTAAACCAATGCATCTAATAATAGTCTTCAAAGGACATGAAACCATGTCTGTTGTGCTGATGTGTAACACCGTATACCGGTCGTTTCTGTAGAGGCCCTAACATGGAATAAACTGGCTTCCGGTATGTCGATGTCATATAATTAGAGAAAGGATAGAAATTCTCCTCTTTTGGAAGGAACAGACGATTGATGCCACGAGCGCGTGTGGTTTCTGCTGGTGGTCGACCTTGTTTTAGGTAGCTGGAAGAGACGGGCCAATCCTTCCCGTCTTTAGTCCATTTTGGCATGGCTGACACGCCTAGTTGGTATTGCCAGGGTTGGTTGCAAGGTTCTTGTCGATCAGCTAGCTTGGGTAATTCTTCCCTTCTAAGAGTTGGGTATCCAGAATCGTACCATTTGTCAGTCCAGCGCTGAAAAATCAATGAATTATGAAACATAATTTTTTTTTACTTTAAGAGATATATATATTTTACTAAATTAGATGCTAGCGCTAGAATTCAGACCGATTGCGATTGTTTGATCTTCGTTTATTAAATCTTCTTAGTCAATAAAAAATTTCCCCAAAAAATACAAGTAAGATACTATACCCACGAGGAGAACTCGCCAAACATTGAAGAGCTTCATTCTCAGTGTTTGCATAGGCGATAAATTTACCATGTATATCATTTCAAACTGTACCTTTTAAAAAAATTGTATTAAGTCAAAATTGCGATTCCCCGTTTCTACGTTTAACTGTGATTTGGCTGATGTATAATGAATTATTATAATTTATAATTTGTTCCTGACTTAAATATACAAATGTATGTGGGTCTGGATGGGGTTTACAGAATTATGAACAACAGCATAAAACGAATAGAATCTAATAGAGTAGAATAGAATAGAATAGAATATTTTTATTTCCCAAATTACAAGGCCCATAAAGGGCATAATATCAGATACAATTGATTGACATAATTGGTAATTACAACAATAAACATCACAGTGTACATGTAAATATATATTTAGTATATTAACATTGGTCAGAATCAGAGCCATCAACAATATATATATTGTGAATAAAAGAATAAAATTACATTATATGCATTCATTCTCAAATTATTTACTGGACTGTAACAGCCCATTTTTTCCATAAGAGATACATTTTCTTGGGTCAAGAGCCATAAAAATTTGGAAGATTTATTTAAGTTTTTAAAATTATAACAAATGTTAGAAATGTATTGAAAAAAATCTTCCCTTTGAATATCATAAAGTGGGCATTCTAACAAAAAATGAAGCTCATGCTCAACTTTACCAAGTGAGCAATTTAAACAAAGACGCTCAGATCTATCTATATGTTTTTTTGAATAGCTGTCTGTCTCATTTTTTAAAGAGTGAGCACTTATTCTTAATTTACAAATTGACTGTCTTTTTTTAAAATCATGTAGTTCTAAATATTTTTCTTTTTTAAAACAATCTTTTGTAGAAAAATAAGTACCAAGCTTCCCTTTTTCTGAGTTAATTGTTTGATACTTCAGTCTATTCCAAAATGTTAAATAACTTTCACATAGTTTATTTTTAACATACTTACATAAAAAAACCAATTGATTGGTTAAAATTGGTAATTTAATCTCTCTCTGAATATAATCTATACTAGAGTACCATGTATTAACATTAGAAATATGTAATTGTTTACAACATATGAATGCATCAAATAATAATCCTTCTTTCAAACCTTCCAGTCTATGACAATATTTTAACATTGATGAAGTTATAGTAAAATAAATAGGAAATCTACCAAGCTCTGACATCACAGCTATGTTACTGGACTTTCTGTTTACACCAAGAATATATTTCGTAAATCTATTATGAGCTTTTCAGAAGAATCCTGACCAAAAACTTTTTCTAATATATAATCATTATCTTTTTTACATGCAGCTGAATCAGTACGAAACATTCCCCATATTTCACTGCCATATAATAGTATGGGTTTAATTGAATGACCATAAAGATGTAAACATGTGGCAATACTAGGGTTAGATGATGACAAGCATCTCTGTAACTTAAAACATGCTTTTAAAGATTTGTTGTATAATTCATCTTTACACTGCTTGAATATACCACTAGATGTAAATGTGATTCCAAGATATCTATATAATTTTAGACATTCAATCTCTTTACCTCCAAAATGTAAACAGCATTTTAAAAACTTTCCTGGTTTGTTAAAAATTATACTTTTTGTCTTTTTTAGATTAACACCAAAACACCATTCTGAACAATATTCATGTAACATATTAATTCTCTTTTGCAAGCCTTCCTGTGTTTCTGAAAAAAATTACTACATCATCAGCATACATAAGACAATCTACTCTACGATTATTAATGTTTACCGGATCAGGACATGATAAAAACTTGTCAGGTAGATCATTAATAAATATTTTGAAAATATTTGGGCTTTAAATATCACCTTGTCTAACCCCTGTAAATAATTTAAAACATAGGGTCATTTCATTATTAATTTTAACACAGAGGTCACTTTTATTATACATATCTTTAATGATAGAATAAAACTTTCCAGTCATATTATTTGTTAATAGCTTATATCTGATACCTTCATTAATCACTTTATCAAAAGCCTGTTTAAAATCTACAACACAGGCAAATAGTTTACCCCCCTTTTTACTAATATATTTATCAATAATGGTTTTTAAAACAAAAACATGATCAGATGGTCTACATTTTTTTGAAAATCCTATTTGACATGGATTAATCAATGATTCTTTTATCAAAAAATGATCTAGTCTGTTATTCAAAACAGAGTTAAATAATTTACCAACACAAGAATTAATGGCAATGTCACGATAATTATCTGTTTTACTTGGATCACCAGACTTAAAAACAGCAGATAAATAAACTGATGACCACTGCATAGGATATATACCGGATGAAAATACATGGTTAAAAAGTTTCTGAATTAAAGGATTTATAACTTAACTTCCTGCCTTTAGCATCTCATTAGGTATACCATCCAGACCTGAGGCTTTTCCACTTTTGAGTTTAGATATTGATTCAAATATTTCTTTAGTAGAGAATCTATAATCTAATTCACAGAAAGTTTTATTTTTTTCCATATTTTCTATTTTAGAATTAATTTCTTTAATTCTTGTCTCAATGATTGAAGGAGATTTATTCAAATCTGAAAAATGATTAAACCAGGTTTCTGGTTCTACTGATTTTTCTTTACTATCATCTGTAGACTCCTTCAAAGAATTAATAAGTTTCCAGTATTGTTTTGGATCAGAATCTCTTAAATTATCAAGACTACTTAGAATATAGACTGTTTAAATGTGCGCATTTTATATTTACGCAATTTATTATAATCTATGTAGCATTTATAATATGAACCTCTGATGATGGGATCAAACGGAAATTTTGACAATAATTCACCTTTTGATACTAGAGTTTTCCTCTTTACAACTAAATCAGAATCAAACCATTTACAATTAGGTCTTCTTTTTTAGATGATTTATTGTGAAAAATATTTGCCTTTGAAGCAGCAACATTTATAATATTTAAAAAATCAGAAACTTTATATATAGAAAATGTTGTAAAAATCAACGAATACAGAAATCGAGATCCCCAATCCAGACCCTCATATATGTAATATTTGCCATTGGACGGTTTCTCTGATAACATGAATTGTTGACTTGAAGTATATCAAATCAGTAAAGCACATAAGCAACCGCACAAGTCATTCAATTTTACCTGTGTCGACTTTCTTCCAATAATCCTAGTGTATTTTTCAGGAACTTCACGTCTGCAAAAAACAAAACAAATATATATCCTGAACACTAACAAGGGGATCCTAAGAGCCTGAATTGCTCATCTGTTGTTGTTTTTTTTTATGTAGATATTGCATCAATGACTATTTTACTGTTTACTGTGTATTAATGCGTGTTTAACCATTTCATTTGAAGTTTCTGTCTTTCTATCATAGCTTCTGCAAAAAACAAACAACAAAATGGTAAAAAAGAGCCTGTGTCGCTCCCCTTGGTCTGTGTGTATCTTCAGCAAGGACAATCTCCATGATTGTGGACTAGAATAGAATTCATGACAAAACTCCCTTTTTTTGTTGATCTCGTATTGCTGATAATTTTTTACAGTTTCTCTCTATCTTCTTTTAGTTTTTACCCAAAACACAAACAAGGGTAAAAAAATCATCATTTAAGGGCAATCACTCCTTTTAAGTGACTACTAACGATTTCGGCAAAACTTGCTTTATTTGAAGATAATGTCTTGCTGATCATTTTTACTTTTTAAAAAATGTTAATATTCTTTTATAATTTTCAAGATAACTTAGGTAAAAACGTAAAAAAAAATATAAAAATTTTCATGCCCATAAGTAATCGACTGACGATTTCTGCCATGTTGACTTATTTGTAAATCTAAATTTGCTGATCATTTTTGCTATCTATAGTGTCAAATTATCTATAATATTTTTCAAGATAAAAGGCAAATACACTAAAAATGGGTAAAAAATCGTCATTAAAGAGCAATAACTCCAATACGGAGTCGACTCACGATTTCGGCCATTGTTCTAATTCGTAAATCTGGTCTTGCTGATCATTTTTGCTTATTTAAGTTTGTATCTATCTATAAAGTTTTTAAGATATGAGGCAAAAACACACAAAAAAATGGTAAAAATAGTCATTAAAGAGCAATCACTCCAACAAGGAGTCGTCGGACGCCAATGTTGACATATTTGTAGATCTTGTCTTGTCTATCAATTTTGCTATTTAATGCGTCTATTTCCTTCATTCATTCTATAACAATTTTCAAGACAATAGTCAAAAACCAGACAAAAAAATGGGTAAATATCGTTATCAAAGAGCTACAAGTTCAATAAGGAGTCATCAGGCGATTTTGTTCATTTGACTTATTTGTGGATCCAGTCTTGGTGATAATCATTTTTGTTTATTTAAGTTTCTATCTATCTATTATAATTTTTAAGATAAAAGTCAAAAACGCAAAATTTGGTAAAAATCGTCATTATCTTTCATAGTTTCCGACCAAACAAAAGAAATGGTAAAAATAATATATCCTCCAATAAGGGATTAATTGACTATTTAAGTCATGTTTGACTAATTTGTTGGTCTTACTTTGTTGAACATTTTTGCTGTTTGGAGTTTCTCTCTATATTAGTTTCTGCAAACAAAACTGAAAAAAAAAATGAAAAAAAATGTCTTTCAAGCATAATAACTCCAATGAGGGTTTAATTGACAATTTCGGTTATGTTAACTTATTTGTAGGTCTTATTTTGTTGAACATTTTTGCCATTTAAAATTTCTCTATATCAATTTTTTTTCAAAATTTCTGTCTATCTTTTATAGTTTATGAAAAAAACACTTAATAACTCCCATAAGGGATCAATTAATGAATTCGGTCCTCATACCCATACCCAATGGTAGATCTTACTTTGATGAACATTTTTGCTGTTTAAAATTTCAGTAGTTTAAGAGGAGAAGATATTTGAAAAAGTTTACGATGACGACGGACGCCAACTGATGACAAAAATGAATTGAAGCTGTATTGCATTAATTTCGACATACATTTGCACAAGTTTTATGCATGTTATACATAAATATGATAAAGACTAATTGGTGGTGAACTTACTAATTCAAACAAATATTACGTAATTTATATAAATTCTATAACTTTACCTTTTGATAATGTATTTGCTGTATTCTAAAGTGTATATAATTGACTGACAAGCATACCATGCATTAATATGAAAGCTGCTCTGAAATGTTTTGAAATTTTTATAATATTACGGTAATTTAAAAAAAAATAATTGCAGGAAAATCTGAATTAGATAATCTACGCATATGGAATATAGTTTCTACTAACGAAGCCGTTTTCAATAAGGCACCTACAATTGGTTTTCTAAATTCAACTTGCATTCACTGAACTGCTCACTAGAAAAATATTATGGGAAGCTGCAGTTTACCCTCAGATCAAAGAATTATTCTCTATAGATTCAACTTGCATTACTATGAAAGCGAAACCGAACTGGGGATGATGAACAAGAGGCTACAAAGAGCCTGTGTCTCTTTAACAGTGGACACTCTCTAAAATTGTAAACTTTAATATAGTTCACGAAAAAATCTCTCTTTTTGTTGATCTTGTATTGCTGATAATTTTTTCTGTTTACAATTTCTCTCTATCTTAGGTTTTTGCCAAAACCACAAAAAAGGCAAAATAACCGCTATTTAAGGTGAAAATGGTAGAAATCGTTCATTAAAAGGCAACAACTCCAATAAGGAGTCAATTGACGATTTTGGCCATTGCACTCATTTGTAGATCATGTCTTGGTGATAATGTTTGCTCTTGAGAGTCCTCTCTAGCTATTATAATTTATAAGATAATAGGCAAAATGACAAAATTTTGGTTACATTCGTCTTTTAAGGGCAAATACTCGTATAAAAAGTCGTCTGACAGTTTTGATGTTAACGGATACTAGTAGTAGGTAGCTCTCAACATTCTGAACATTCCTGCTGCTGTAAGATTTTCTCTATTTTTAGCGGTTTTCACGATTATTGACAAAATTTCTATTTTCAGCCATATTGGCCATGTTGGTTAGCAGACGGGGTCATTGGAAATATTTCTAAAACTAGATACCCCAAAGATGAAAACTAAACTTGGCCCTGCAGTTTTAGAGAAGATTTTTGTAAAAGTTAACGGACGACAAATGATACAAAATATAAAAATAAGAAGATGTGGTATGATTGCCAATGAGACAACTCTCCAACAGAGACTATAAGAAATACAAGTTAACAAATATTGGTCACCGTACGGCCTCCAACAATGAGCAAACCCATACCGCATAGTCAGCTATAAAAGGCCCCGAAATGACAAATGTAAAACAATTAAAACGATAAACTAATGGCCTGATTTATGTAAAAAAAACAACAAACGAAATACATATATGATATACAGCAACAAACGACAACCACTGAATTACAGGATCCTCACTTGGACAGGCAAATTCAGAATGTGGCGGGGTTAAACATGTTTGCTCGCTTAGCCCTTTTGGCCAGGTGAGCTAAAACGGGAATTCGTTTTGAATGTAAAAGGTCACAACAATCATAATTTCAAAAGATACTCAAGAATCTGCTTAATGAACATCAGTTTAGAGTATATTTACTGCAGAACGACAATGAATTTACATTATTTTAGCAGAACAAGTATGATCTAAGCCTACAAGTTGATCATCATATATTACTGTTCAAGGGACGCATTTTCCATCTTTATCATCAGAAGTCCCTTACCCTAATAATGGACTTCTTTAATGCAGCTGATTACACATTTTGTATCACCATGCATATGGTTAGTACAACAATAATATTTAATATGCAATTAATTTATTATTAGTTTACAGACACATATAGTTATCAACAAATTAATTAATTTACTGTTAATGTCATATAATAATTCCATTTTTGTCTCTGACATTACAGTCCTATTGTCATGATTACAAAACCATGCGCTATAAACTATCTCCACTGTGACTAGTAGAATGCTACATTTGTTCTGTTGTTCGTCGTGCAAATTTTGAAAAGATGACGTTTAAATAATTATTTTAACATAGCAGATATATTGTCTATAGTGTGAAAATGTGGAAAAGAGAACGAACGTCGGTAAATTGTGTACATGTAATGAATACTAAATAAACAGCTGCGCCATGAGCGCATGATACGCCCGTCGCGTTTTCAAAGAATAAACTTCAATAACTTCTCAATGTCATTTCAGAAATTTATGAAAAACTAAAGGGATGTTATCTTAATAGATATAAACCAGTCACCAAAGTTTCATAAAAACTGCTCAAAGCACTTTAAAGATATTGTCCGAAAACTGGAAAATGACACCTTTTTTATGAATAAAATCCCATAACTTGGAAACGTAAAATCTAAAATTTATAAAAATCGAAAGGGAGCTTATGCCAATAGATATAAACAATTCACCAAAGTTTCATGAAAACGGCAGAAAGCATTTTTGAGTTATAATTGTCCGAAAACTGGAAATCCACCTTTTTTTAATGAATAAAACCCCAAAACTCGGAAACGTAAAACCTAAAATTAATAAAAATCGAAAGAGGGCTTACGTCAATAGATATAAAGAATTCACCAAAGTTTTATGAAAACTGCTGAAAGCATTTTTGAGTTATTGTCGGAATACAAGAAAATCTCCCTTTTTTTAATGAATAAAATCCCATAACTTGGAAACGTAAAATCTAAAATTTATAAAAATGCAAAGGGAGCTTATGTCAATAGATTTAAACAATTCACCAAAGTTTCATGAAAACGGCAGAAAGCAGTTTTGAGTTATAATTGTCCGAAAACTGGAAATCCACCTTTTTTTAATGAATAAAACCCCAAAACTCGGAAACGTAAAACCTAAAATTTATAAAAATCGAAAGAGGGCTTACGTCAATAGATATAAAGAATTCACCAAAGTTTAATGAAAACTGCTGAAGCATTTTTGAGTTATTGTCGGAAAACAAGAAAATCTCCCTTTTTTTAATGAATAAAATCCCATAACTTGGAAACGTAAAATCTCAAAATTTTAAAACATGAAAGGGAGCTCGTGTCAATAGATATAAACAATTCAGCAAAGTTTCTTGGAAATTGGTGAAAGTGTTTTTGAGTTATTGACCCAAAACTGGAAAATCCCCACTTTTTAACGAATAAAACCCCATAACTCGGAAACGTAAAATCTAAAATTTATAAAAAACGAAAGGGATCTCACGTTAATAGATATAAACAATTCACCAAAGTTTCATGCAAATTGGTAAAAGCGTTTTTGAGTTATTGTCCGACATGTTGACGACGGACGGACGGACGGACAGACGGACAATGGTATACCATAATACGTCCCGTAAACGGGCGTATAAAAACTAGAGGTTCAACTTACCGGAACATTTCTTGAGAACTTGGAAATTTAGGAACGTTCGGTGGATAGTTGGCCATGTTGACATGGTACGGGTATTTATCACTATGACGTCATAAACACATAATGTTTGGTTTGAATAGATATGAGCCAAGGCCTTTATCCAAATATTTAAGGTAAAGGGACTACCATTTGATTTTCGGAAGGGGGATTTGAAAATGAATATCCTGGCCTCACAAGAGCTGAAAATAAATAATCTTGCACAAAACAGGGTATAAAATAAATATTCTGCAACATGAAATTCAAAAATTAAGGAAACAATTGTTTACAAAAGTGAAGATATATTTTTGCGCAGCATAAAATTAAGCATGCACACCAACAGCTAGATGAAAATGAATATTCGATATACAATCAAAAACTCCTGCCCCTACCCCTCCATTTTCAAATGGTCACCCCTAAAGCCTTGGATTATATCAATAAATCTTAACGAAAAAATTTCAAAATAAGGCTATTGTGTCAGTTTTTGCAGTTTTAAAATAAATGCAAGAAGTTTGAAACCCTATAATGCAAACATATGTAAAAAACAAAAGTTAATAATATTAATTATTACTTATGTCTGGGGGTCTTAATTGGTTTGTTAGTCTTGTATCATTTTTAATTTTAGTTTCTTGTGTATAATTTGGAGTTTAGTATGACGTCCATTATCACTGAACTAATATACATATTTGTTTAGGGGCCAGCTGAAGGACGCCTCCGTGTGCGGGAGTTTCTCGCTGCATTGAAGACCCATTGGTGGCCTTCGGCTGTTGTCTGCTCTATGGTCGGGTTGTTGTCTCTTTGACACATTCCCCATTTCCATTCTCAATTTTATTTAATGATAGACAAAAAGTGCAGAATAAAGGACAAAAAAATAAAAACAGAGAAAAATTGTAAAAAAAACTTCAACAATAAAGAAATGAAGACCCCCTACACCAATCCAGATCCTAATGTCTGACAGTCTGATACGTTATAAAACATTCACAGGAGGCAGTTGGCTAAATTATTTTGAATTTTTTAAATATTCTTGTAATTTAAAATTATATTGTATTTGTATTGTATGTGTATTGTTATTGTATTGTATTGTATTGGTATTGTATTGGAATTTGTATTGTATTTGTAATTGTATTTGTATTGTATTTCAATTGTTTTATTTGTATTGTATTGTATTGTAGCATACTATACTGTATTGTATTGTATTTGAATTTGTATTGTACTTGTATTGTATTTGTAATTGTATTTGTATTGTATTTCAATTGTTTAGTTTGTATTGTATTTCAATTGTTTTGTTTGTATTGTATATTATATTGTATTGTAGCATTCTGTATTGTATTGTATTGTATTGTATTGTATTGTATTGTATTGTATTGTATTGTATTGTATTGTATTGTATTGTATTGTATTGTATTGTATTGTATTGTATTGTATTGTATTGTATTGTATTGTATTGTATTGTATTGTATTGTATTGTATTGTATTGTATTGTATTGTATTGTATTGTATTGTATTGTATTGTATTGTATTGTATTGTATTGTATTGTATTGTATTGTATTGTTAAAAATAAGGAGATGTGGTATGATTGCCAATGAGACAACTATCCACCGAAGTTCAAATGAAGTGGATGTAAGCAATTATAGGCAACCGTAAGGCCTTCAACAATAAGAAAACCCATACCGTATGGTCGGCTATTAAAGGCCCCCGACATGAAAAATATGAAATAATTCAATTGAGAAAACTAACGGCCTAATTTATAACATAACGATTTACGAAAAACAAATATGACTGACGTGAACCAACGACCACCACTGATCTACAGGCTCCTGACTTGGGACAGGCACATAAAGAATGTGGCTGGGTTAAACATGTTTGTGAGCGTTCAACCCTCCCCTAACCTGGGACTGTGGTGTAACAGTACAACATACAAACAAACTATAAAAATCAGTTGAAAAAGGTTTAACTCATCAGATGGATACAAATAGAAATACATCTAACAAAAACACAGAGTGGACGTGGACGGGTACTTATATATCCCAAAAACAAAAACACACTCAGTACAGATCTGAGAGTACTCGCAGTTACTGACAGCCAATGAAAAAAATCATGTATCTAAGACTAAAGTATCAATCAGTACACATCCAATATCCAATGGATTTAGTGTAAAGACGTCATTAACAGTCAGAGAAAAACATGACCTTGTGCAATGCCAACTTATAGGTATCGACAGATTGTTGTACCGTGAAAGTACATGTGATATGTGTGGTTTTAATTTACTGATAACAAAATCAATATTTATACCAATAAAAACAATATTCACCGAACAGCAAGCTATAAAGGGCCCCAAAAATTACTAGTGTAAAACCATTCAAACGGGAAAACCAACGGTCTAATCTATATAAAAAAACGAGAAACGAGAAACACTTATGAACAACATCAACAAACGACAACTACTGAATTTTATTTATTCTTGTCATATAGAGCATGTATTATTGTTTGTGCAACTGTTGTGGTATTAAGTTGTCGCCCATGCACCTCACATAAAGAGAACAAAATGATTAGTGAGCATACTTTTATTCACTACATAAATATATTTCAACAGTAACAAGCAGAATAAACTTAACATGCTTAACTTAAAAAAAGAAGAATGTCTGTTTATTTCTAGAAATGTAACATAAAGCTACATAGATATATAAAAGCTATTTGTAAATGTTCAAATCATTAAACATGGAACACTCAATCTATCAAGGAAGCATGGCACAAAAAACGTGAAGTTGATGCGTTTTGATCAATTTTTTTTATTAATAAACAAAGCTAGCTTCATACTAAAAAGCAAAGAAGACGCAAATGCCCGCCAGAAGATTTGGGGAGGCATGACAAAATAATTCGAAAATAGAATAAAATCACAAAGTAAAGGTAAGAGTACCTCGTCAATAGCTTTATAAAACGTCACAAAAATAAATACATACACCCAATTTCCCGCGCAAAGGTTGCGTGTCTTAACAAAATATCACTTGCCTAACAAGAGTAAAACTTTACCATTAAAAGTTACAATGAATATCAACCACAAGGTCATCACAAAAAGCATTGCCGACAATATATTATTTTTTTTTTACAATGATAAACATTATTACTACGTAATCAATATATTTTGCTTAATAGCAGAACAGTGGGGATATTCCTGGTTTTAAGACAAAGTATTATCACATTAAACTTAAAAAACATTTTTCTTCAAAATTATACATATTCGATGGAAATATATATTGCAAAATGAACACAAATGCATCTGTGTGATAAAAATGCGATCATTTAAACGTTTATAGTAAGTATTGTAAACGAATGCATTTAATAATAGTCTTCAAAGGACATGAAACCATGTCTGTTGTGCTGATGTGTAACACCGTATACCGGTCGTTTCTGTAGAGGCCCAAATATGGAATAAACTGGCTTCCGGTATGTCGATGTCATATAATTAGAGAAAGGATAGAAATTCTCCTCTTTTGGAAGGGACAGACGATTGATGCCACGAGCACGTGTGGTTTCTGTTGGTGGTCGACCTTGTTTAAGGTAGCTGGAAGAGACGGGCCAATCCTTCCCGTCTTTTGTCCACTTTGGCACGGCTGACACTCCTAGTTGGTATTGCCAGGGTTGGTTGCAAGGTTCATGTCGATCTGCTAGCTTTGGTAATTCTTCCCTTCTAAGAGTTGGATATCCAGAATCGTACCATTTGTCAGTCCAGTGCTGAAAAGTCAATGAATTATGAAACAGAATTATTTTACTAACAGATATATATTTAACTTAATAAGAAGACACCAATTTGAATAGCTTTGAACTACATTTATTATATCTTCCTAGTCAATAAAAAATGTTCCCCAAAAAAACAAGACAGATACTATGTGAGCGACCAAAATTCGTATCAAGCCTATTCCGCGGAACCCTGCATGTGTCTCGCATGCGATTCCTACTGTTAGTATATCATATATAATTGTGATTTCCAAAGACTAACCATTTATCAGTAAAATACGTCAAAAAAAAAAAAAAATGTTTTCTTTAGATGCTATTTCATGTCCCGACAAAGCTTCTGTTCAAGTTTCATTACATTCCATGAAGGTTAAACAAAGTTATTGTTGTCTAAATAAAAATTAATCCCAGACTGTGAGTAAAAACTAAGTCCGTCTATCAGTTAATGCTGAAAAATAATAACAAAGCTTCTTTCAACAGCTCATAATATTATATGAAGGATTGACAAAGTAATTGTTGTCTAAAAAAAACTTTAACCCCAGACTGTATCCGAATTATGTTAACTGTAAAATTAAACTAAGTCCATTTGTCTGTATTATATAAAGACAAATAAAATTTCAAAATTTCGAAATTTTGCTCTGGAAACTTTTTTTGACACGAGCTTCGATTCTTCAATGAAGAAGCATCAGCTCATATTTCCTTTGTAAAATTCCATGAAGGTTTCACAAAGCTTAGACTGTATATTAGCTTAGACTGTATATAAACTGCAAAATAAAACGAAGTCCACCAGTCAGCAGAATACGCAAAAATTTGCTTTTGATATTGTCTTTTGATTATAAAAGTTTGACATAGTGTATATCGATGTATTAAAAACTTACAAATTAGACTAATACATAATCTTCACTTTTTACCCCCCCCCCCCCTCCCCTTCCCCCGTAAAGAAATCCAGACTCTCAGTTATGTAATATTGGCCATTGGACGTTATTGAAACAACGTTGATATATATATAGTGAATTGTTGTCTTGTCATTCAATTTTACCTGTGTCGACTGTCTTCCAATTATCCTGGTGTATTTTTCAGGAACTTCACGTCTGTAAAAACAAAACAAAATAAATATCCTTAACACTAAACGTGCATTGAAGCTGTATTGCACTGTTGCATGCATTTCGACATACATTTGTAAATATTTTATGTATGTTATATTAAGACAAATTGGTGGTGATCTTAATAACAACTAGTACGTCTTTCAAGACTGATTCAATACCTTTACTTTTTGGTAATATATTTGCTGTATTCTAATATATATTGATTTGAGTGACAAGCATATCATGCAATAATATGTATGCTGCAGTGAAAATTTATGAAGCCGTTTTAAGAAACACTGAAATTTTTTTTTATATGCTCGTCCTCCCTCTATCCGCACATCCAGCAAGTGATCTTGTTATGAATCAAGTTTTGCCTTCTTGGATCTTCAGTATGAAATTTTACTAAATGTTGGATTTCAGAAAGACAAAGACATATCCGATTTGGTATAGTTAGAAATATACAATACAGCAACTAGTTAATTTTGAAAATTCACCGAGAAGTCACGATTATCGCCTGCTCTTACCGTAGCTGTTTATTACTCCGTCTTGTTGACTATATTCTGCTTACAATCTGTACCTTAAATCTGTCATAACGTACATGTTCAAGATCAAACTTATATTAGGTAGTTTATGACTTTATACAATAAAAGTGTTCGAACACTTCAAAGTGTTTACATCAGTTCTTTTTTGTCATTTACTCTAGTTTTTGCTTTGGTGTTCTTATACATTTAGCATGTTTACAGTGGCGGGTCCAGAAATTTTCATAAGGGGGGGGGGGGGGGCACTGACTGCCATAAGAGGGGGCCCACTTAGTCATGCTTCAGTGATTCCCTATATAATCAACCAACTTGTTCCCACAAAAGGGGCCCGGGCACGCTGCCCCTCCCCCCTAAATCCGCCTCTGGTTTAGGTAACTTTCTTCACCGAGCGTACTTGGTATCATACCAGGAACACGTGAATTGTGCATGCACGTAATTCGGTTGCATACCCTTACACTGTATTTGCCGCAAGTTCAGCCACTATTAGGATGGTGGTTCTTCGTTCCTTGTATTCTAATGTCCTTTCTTCAAATGTTTCGAATAGATCTGATGATCGAGGTTAATTAATTCTGCTTCAGTTGCCTATTACAGTTTGTTGATACTACACTATTTAGCCCGGGGTTTGGCGAGGAAGAAATAATAAAAATCATGTTTTAAATATGTTGTATATATGTAATGTTTCAATGTTTTAGTGTCTTATAATTCTGCATGGAATGGTTCTCTATTTCATCTATATCATACACAATCTTATTATTATAAAATTATAGATCTGATTTCGTTATGCTTACACGAGTAAGCGAGTTCCAATGGATCTGAATTTGAATCAGATTGTATATTATACAGTGTTATATATTATTGAGAGATGAGACTTAAATAAATTATTGAATTGAATTGTTTGATTCAGACGATTCAGTCGCATACGATACATGTATGTGCCTCTGAATTTCAGTGGTTGTTTGGTTGTAATGATGAATATGCACGTCAACAGGTTTTTTTTTTAAAGTATCCGACATTAATAAGTTGTAGCTTTCAGTATGCCGAAGGCATCCAAAGCATCTTAAAATTCTACCTGCAAACATTTCTGATATTCAGACCATGAAAAATGTTTGGACCTTACGGTGATTCTTATGTATTTTCCATTTCCGTTTAGTTAAGGATACAATTAATTACATGTATATCAACAGGTCTTCCCATTAATACCATCCGCATTCTGGATTTTCACAATCTGAAGAAAACGGCAATTTCAGATATTGCAAGAGAATCTGAATTAGATAATCAACGCATGGGGAATATAGATACAACTTATGAAGCCGTTTTGAATTAGGCACCAACAATTGATTTTCCAAGTTCAACTTGCATTCACTGTATACTTCTATATTCTTTATTCTCTATAGATTCAACTTGGCGCTGGGGATGATAAAAATCGAAGTCGTTTTACAACAATCGTTATTTCAAAAGAAGATAGTCAGGAAAAATTGATCGTTTAGATGATTGACTAGGGCTTTTTACAGATTAATGATTTTAAGGTACCCAAATGCATTTAGAGTATAATTACGGAAGAACAACAATGAATTTACAATGTGTGAGCAGAACAAAGATGATTTAAACCGCCAAGTTGATGATCATCTAATATTGTTGAAGCAAAAGACACCTTTCCGTCCTTATCACAATGTATCAACAGAAAATGCAGCCTCGAAAATAATATTTTGTCAGTATACTTTTCCCAGATGCAACCGATTAAACTTTTTGTATCATCATGCAAATGATTAGTACAACAATAATATTTAATAATTAATTAATAATCATTAGTTTAGAACCAGATAATCGCTTTTGTCTATGACATTACAGCCATGTTGCCATGAGTACCATGCACTATAAACTAACACCACTGTGACTAGAAAAAATGATACATGTGTACTGATGATCGTCATGCAAATTTGTACCTTACCATAATTGCTTGATATTTCCTAAAATAAATTTAACTTGATTGTGTTAAATGGGCAGATTGTTGAATGCTACAACTTTTATATTTCTGAGTAAGAATCATTTGAAATTTGGTCCATGGTTTAAATGGAGCTATCATAACTTGTCATTTACGACAGACACCAACAGTTAGGTTTTGGGCATGATGTCTATGTTTAAGAATGCTTAACTTCTGTTAAGAATTACAAATTATTATGTTTACACTCATTGATGCAGTTGACAATCTTTTCAACCTTTTTAATTAATAATAAACTTTAATAAATGTTACGAGTGTTGATAGAACCAAAACATTATAAAAAGTGACCATCAAATAATTATTTTAAAATAGCAGATATAATGTCTATTGTCACGGTGGAAAAGAGAAGACAATAAATTTTGTACATGTAATGTCTACTAATGAATTCTAAAGAAACAAAATACTAGAGGTTCAACTTACCGGAACATTTCTTGAGAACTTGGATATTTAGGAACGTTCGGAGGATAGTTGACATGGTACGGGTATTTTTCCTGTTTTCCATTAAAGAATAAAGTATCTGCCATTGCCATTTTGGAGAGTATATAAGGCCCCGATACAAGGTTCCAAAATAATACCAATTCTAATATTGTTGCTTATATCACACACAATAAATAGGTACCCGTTACGGGTATGTATTTAGCAACTTTAATTACATATATTTAGATTACTATAAATATTTCAAGTGATTCGTGAATCAAATAGTTTATAATAAAATAGCACATTTTAAATTTGACATAAAAACTTGTAGTATTTTCTTTAGGGTATAAGCGACAGAGAAACGGTTACCAAGCAAACTATTTACAAACGTTGCCAAGTGATCGCTACTATCGCTTACGACATTCAAGGCACAGATTTCTGAAACGTTGAACGTACTTATCAGGGTGGGGGGCTACAACTTATTATTAAAACACTGAAATATCTCTACGAATCTATTTTATTCTTAACTCGAAAAAAGAGAAAGGGCATAACATTTTTTCGGTCACACAAGGGACAGATAAAAAACAATGGCAGCAGCACAGCAGTTTTTATCAACGCCTGCCAAACTCCCTAAGCAATGGTAAGCATAAAGAGATTCACGGTATCTTATGACAAAAATTAAGGTACGAGGAACGGCACATAGTAAAAGGTGTCAGACTTTCAGTACTTTATCATGTTTATGACTTCGTTTTATATCAAAGTATAGGGGTAAATATTATATACCCCCATAGTTAATACACGTACCATTCACTACAATTAAGGATATTTAATTGTTAAAAAATTTAAGGATCTTAAGTTTACAACAACGCATTCAATGATAAAAAAATCTATTTTTATAAAACTATTATTTTCTTGTCTAATTCCAGGCAACCAAAGTTACATGAATGGTCAGTGTACCATAGTAGTCATCCAGATTATGCTCAGGTATGAAAGATTATAAATGACATCAAGCAGGAACCTATATATTGACATATATTGTTCCCAGCATCAAGTTAGTTTTATGTGGTATTACAGGTCAAAATCATTCTCACACGTGTTCCCAATATTTTTTCTGTCATGGGAGTGATTATTTTGATTGGTTATTTCTGCAGTAAGTAGTTTGACCTGACTTCTTTGTTTCTACAAGTATACATTTTGTAGATTTTAATTTCTCTACAGCTCAAGTTCATAATCAGTATAATGCTGGTTTATTTGGGCATAAAACATACAAACTAGATGAATGCCACTATTACTCTTCTTTAAGATGGTGTACATGTAAGTCTTAAAAATACTGAGGAACCCTCAGGATCGTTTGATAATAAAAGTGGCAGCAGAAGAAATGTATGAGGTGACAGGGAGATATGTCTACCCCTGTATTATGTCATTTTAGTTCAGGCATTGTATATATATTTAGCCGTTTTTGAGAGGTCACTTAAAAATGAAAAATAAATGTATTCAAACAACAAATTTCCTCTTCATAAGTACATGTATTTTTTAGTAAAGATTCATTGATGGTTGCTTATTGTCCAGTAAAGTCATATTTTTAATATCTAGCTCACATGGTTACAGTCATTTGGAAGTCTTGTGACCCTCTGAGTATTCTGACTCCCAATAAATTTTCAACTGGAGCATTCTGACTCTACTCATACTGCTAAAGCTTACTGATTGGTAGAAGAGCAATTAACAAATACCAAGTTTCTGATTTGGTCCAGGCAGGAATCAAATCCAACATCTCCCACACTCAATGCAAGCATACTAAAGATAACCTAAGCAAATTTTAGTGAAAGGTTAATAAAATTGAGAATGGAAATGGGGATATTTATCCAATAGACAACAACCCGATCATAGAGCAGACAACAGCCGAAGGCCACCAATGGGTCTTCAATGCAGCGAGAAACTTCCGCACCCGGAGGCGTCCTTCAGCTGGCCCCTAAACAAATATGTATACTAGTTCAGTGATAATGGACGTCATACTAAACTCCAAATTATACACAAGGTCTTTATTTTTTTGTAATCAAATAACATAAACATAGGGTATCCATAGTAATCTATCTGATGTATTTATATAAGTGAAGATTGAAATTGACTCATTTGTAAAGATTTATATGTTCACGTTATTTTCTACATGCGAAAGTCATGAAAAATAAATCACTTGTGAAATTTAGTTGTTTTACAGTAGTATAAGGCCTTATAAACATTTACTTTTTAGATTCACCAATTCCTTTGGGATATCTACTAAAATTATTGAAGGGAGGTGTATTTTATTGCTTTAATTTTTTCTGATATTTACTTAAGAGTCATGAATTTGATCACTTAAATTTAACAAAAAAGACAAATATTTTTTAAATAGTTGAATGGCTAAGTTTTACTATAAAATAAGTGTACATAGACTTCCTTGAAGAAAATCCTTTATATTATCAAAATCTTCAGAAATGTACTGCTATTGAATTATTGTCTTCCTGTACTATAATTCTCCAACAGCTTTTCCATGTGCAGTGATCTTAATCAAGTGCGAAGGCTAAACCTGTGATGGTAGAAAAAGTAAACAAACATGGAAGGAAGATTATATTAACCTTTTCTGAAAGAACAATTGTAATACACCAAATCATTTAACAACTGTTATTACGTTTTATTAACAAATGGGAGCGCCTGGAAAATTAAAAAAACAAATCAAACAAACAAGTATTCTTCTAACATCTCACTTATTTTCACGATCAGTAAACTTTGCCACATAACACTAAAATTAACTAGCAGCCAACTTTATCAAAGAATTATATATACTCTTTGTCAATTATATGGTTCACGGGTTATGGATTCGTAATAAATGTAAAAAATTGTGCACAGAGGACTCAGTTTAGTATATATGCATACATTGGTTCAACATTTTCCTTTACATAATAATCACCAGAAACTCGTACATATATGACTTTAAATTGTTAGAAAATGTTTCTTATGAAATGTGAAACGGAATAAAAAAGGATCCATGCATTGTGTGTCCCCCACTTTCCATGTTAATGTGACACATCTATTTTAAGAATTAGTTATTTTACAGTGAAGAAAGTATTGGTATGTACTATTGACATGGCTGCTTTTCGGTAAAAATTTATTGACAAGCATGAAGTTAAGGTTTAATAATGACAGAGTAAAGCTGCTTGAATGTTCAATATATTCATTGCATGTAAAAAAAATGTATTTTCACTGCTCATGATACATGTCATGTCAGCATCATAAATCACAAAATTTTTACAGTATGCTGTTTGTATATATCTAATTCATTAAAGTAAGGGAAAGCTTAGTATAATTAGCAGGAAGGGGGGATAATTCAACATGTAGCGATAGTCTTTGCATGTTTTAAGTGTTCTATATTGCTGCACTAGTTTCAAGTTATATTATAACTTAAATATTATTTTTTGTCATATTTTTTAAGGTATTGACATTGTAAATGATTTTTCATCATTAAGAAATATTTGTTTTGGATAATAAATCACATGTGTAAATCAGGTATTCAAGTGTAGGAGTATTTAAAGTAATTGTACCTTAAAAGTGGTGAAATTTTATTTGATAATTTAAACACTTGAGAAATCAGTTATAGTAAAAATGACAAAAAATATGATTAAAAAGAGATGTTTAATAAAGATGCAATATCCAAAGACATAGATCTGGAATATAAAATAAGAAGATGTGGTGTTATTGCCAATGAGACAACTCTCCACAAGAGACCAAATGACATAGAAGTTAACCCCTATAGGTCACCATAAATTAGTGGTCGTCAATAATAGACATGCGTTTCTTAATATGCCAAGCTCTTAATTACCCAATTTCAAATAAATCAAAAATACAATTATGATGAAGAATATTGCGACCTTAATTTATTAAATTAATGATATTCAATGTAGCATTGTGACCTTGCTGTTTAGGTCAACATTAGATTTCTTTCGTTCCACAGAGGAGAACTTTTAATATCAAAATAAGATGTGGTTTGATTGCCAATGAGACAACTATCCACCAAAGTCTAAATGAATTGGATGTAAGCAATTATAGGCAACCGTACGACCTTAAACAATGAGAAAAACCCATACAAAATTCATTATGTTATATCTACCATTTATCTTGAAAATGAACTTGATGACACATAAGTATCTCAATTTTTTTTTTTTTTACTTCATATAAGTGTTGTACCGATGTTTTAGAATAATGAAAAATATCAAAACAGTGGGATAAACTTAAATCCTTTTTAAACTGGTTTGCTATCTAAAAACTGACAATAATTGTATTCAGTTCTATGTAAAAATAACTTAACAACTTTTAGGCTGGTTGGAGGAAATGGAGTGGAGAACATCCAGACTGGTATGCCAGACGATCCACTTCACGACACCCTGATTGGTACAACAGACAAACTAATACCACCAGAAGAGGTATAAGCTAAAATGTGCTATTATAAAGGCTACTAATGAAAAGATTTGTTACATTTTGACTTTGTGATCCTCATGATGTTCAACTGTGGTACAACAACCATAGATTTAGCTGCTGTTTAAATCAGACAGTTAATTGATGGCAGATACCAATAAATTAAAAGGAGAATTAATGTATACATAAATAAAACATAGTTTGTATGTGTTTAAGAAAACAGTTAGCCTAAAACACCATTTAAACCATGATTTTATTTTTAAATGAATACTGTGCAAATTCTTAAAGCAGTGTTGTTCTAGGCAGACTTTTTTTTAAACAAAGTTAATAAAGGGAAATATAAATGTTTTGGAAACCATGTGGTTTATCCAAAAGCAGTAGGTCAACAAGAAAGAAGCACAAACAAATTTGCAAAAGTACCATTGTCTTGAAATTTTAAATACATAGAAGTAAATCAACTGGAACAAAGTCCAAACTCAATTAATAACCACTGGTTATAAAATTACAAATCTTGACCTACCAAGTACAGTCAGTCAAGTATGGACTTAATCTTCAAATTCCCTTTACAGGATTTAGATCATATAGCAAAAATCAAGTCAAGGTCTTTAAAAGTGGGAAAACTGTTATTTAATTTCTCAACAAAAAATTTTCAAGTCCAAAGGCCATTTTATTTCCTATCAAAAAAAGGTACTAGTAAACAGAAGCATAGCAGAAACTTGGTTTGCAAGTGATAATTTTACAACATAAAGAAATCAATTTTATGCAGGCTGGACAGAACATGTATCCATCTGACGCCATCAGACCCAACCCTCATTACCACATTTCCATGTTCAGTAAACTGCAAAATCTGGGTCAAAACCATCAAGTGGCATATATTTTCAAAAGTCAACATCACAATTTTTACAAAGTTTCCAGTTGTTGTGACCATAACTTCATAGTACTTTGAACACATTTTTTTTAACCTGAGACACACTTTCACAATGAACATGTGTACAAAGTTTCAAGTTGATGTGACCTGACCACAACTTCATTGTTAACTACATTGACCAAAAACTTGAACCCAATATGGGACATATGGACACACAGTGTGGAAAACTTAATGCCCCACTAATATTGTATGCAGATTAAAATAAAGTGCAGATTGAGTGACAGACAAAGGTACAGCTTTAAGCTCTAGTAAAAGTATTGTAAGAATAATTCAATTACAGGTACAATGACAATCTATAAAATGATATGTACATGTTTTTAACTTTTGATTCATAAAAATATTAATCACTACGACATACACATATAATTTTCTTCATTATTTTTTTTAGTGGATTACAAGAACATAAACTGGCATTACGAGAGACCATCAAAACCAACTAGCCGAGTACATGATGACTTTATCCCTAACAATAATGAAGTTATGCACAAAGATGTACAGAGACCAATGCCACACAATAAAGCCTATATGGGAACATTCTCTTATCCTCGACCATTCCCAATGGAAATACCACCACCAAAATGGGGCTTATACAACCCACCTAACTACGAGGAGCCAGCAAGATTTGACCATTTTCCACCTCTAAGATATAATGGCTATTAGCAATAATAACTGCCTATAGAAATTAGAAACTAGCAAATTTACTACATGTAATGCAAAGTATATTATTCTGTTACTATAGTTGAGATATTACCTTTTGAAAATTGCTGTGCAAGTTTTAAGACATTATTATCGTTAAGTGCTGTTTCATTCTGCAACATAGCTGCAGAACCATAGCTCTTATGAACCTTGTGATTTTTTTGACAATTTGCGGACCCTAGATCCACAAAATTGTCAAAAAACTGTTAAGAACCATAAGTCTTAAGGTTCTGCAGCTTACTGCCACCATACATCTGTATTAAAATTTGCCAAGTTTTGAAACTATGGAGGGTAAATGCACTTATAACAAAAAAAAACCTCATATACAAAAAAGTTCAAATTTTTGTAATTTTTTCTTCTTTTTAGATTTTCTGCATGTGAAAAAAAATAATTTGAGAACAGGAATGATGAAATATTTGACAATGTTTTATGTTAAAACATGGTCATGACCAGAGTTGTGATCACACTCATATCTAAGATTTTTTGTTCATACATTTAAGTAACTTAAACAACTTTAACATTACAGATACTTAGGTTTGACTTTATATAGAAATAAGGAAATAAAATACAAGCATATATTTTTATATACAACAGTTTTTGTTTTCTTCACATACATCTTTATTTTATAATGAGTTCTACTTTGTACAACTTTTAACCATGTATCTATTAACCCTGTATGTGCATTATATATTGTGCATGTAGCCTCAATTTCTGTGAAGGCATCCAGCTGGCTTGTAGATTATATTTTTTATTTATTCTTATGTAACCTTCGTTTGTTCATGCATAATTTACTTGACATTGAAGAGAAGTGTAATGTCACAGTCTTTTCACAGTTTGGAATCACTTAGTGAGTGTTAGATCTTCACAGTTTATATTTATAATACACAAGAGATAAATTTTGAGAGTGTACACCCTCTCAGTGAACAGTTTCATTGCTTTATGATATTTATTGTACAAAGGTAGAGATAAAATCTGGGGACAAACTCACCTGGAGTTTTTATTGTTTGATAATTGTGATTTTCGATATTAAGTATATCACATAATTACATGGAACAATGTCCTCATTATCTTTACATTTTTCGAAACATTTTATTTTTCGTCTCAAAAAGCTTTAAAAAGTTTCATATTTTGTAGTGCCATTTTTATAAACAAATAAATATTACTTTTTTTCACTCTTAAATTCTCCTTTATTTTTAATGTTAAACAAGATATTTTATCCAAACCTATACAAATTGAGTGATGCAAGCTATGCTAAAAATTTGATTGCTTATATCAAGGAAAACAAAGAATATGTATTTTCTGGTATTTTGCAACAATAACACAAACCTCTTAATATTTTCTGTTTATTTCTTTTAAAAATCAAGTTATTTTGGCAGATGTTGGAAGAATTTGTTGCAAAATTCTTAAATATAACAGCCAGCATGACTTGTAGCAAGTATTGTACATTAAAGAGAAGTTACTGTTATAAAACCATGGTGTAGAATATTAACAAATTTCTTAATTATTAAAGGCCAATTAAAAAAGTACTTGCAAAATATTTACAACATGAATACCCCCTGCAAGTGTCCTTGAATAATTGAAACATGCTATTTTGTATACCTCTATCTATATAAAACTTTGCTTTTTATATTAACTATGTCTTTATTTTTTATGTCTTTCTTTTGTCTTTGTCCTGGTGATAGGAGAATGAATGTGATAAAACTTATTTGGACCAAATTAAATTAATTTTTGACTTTTTTGGGGGAATCTAGATATCAATGCCTTAGTTGTATAAGGACGTACTAGCTAGTTAGTAAGAAAAGTCTGTATACATGTACTACTTAAAAGATTTTAAAGAGAGGCATACATCTTGAAACAGAAATTAGAACTATTTTTATGTTAATTGATTATTAATTGATGGATCATAGAATATCATGCCAGAAGTTTTATTTTTCGATAGCTCAACACTATTGCAAGTGTCAAAACATTCTAAGCTATTGAAATAATTCCAATTAAAACTTAAAAAAGGTTAATTTAATATGGTCACAATAGCAACCATGAGTTTGAGGGGATGGGGAATATAAGTTGATTAGATTTAACTTTAGAAGCTTTTGTTACATATTTATATTTATTTGTTAAATCATTTTTGATTCTTTGTACAATTTTAATCCTGAAATAAACCAGTTTAGAAAATCTAGTTTTTATTTTTTCTTGTCCCTAAATCTGTTGCAGTTGGACCATTAATTGGTTTAATGGTTGGGACGTTCATCCTTGGCTCACACATCAAATTTATTTCTGAATTCCAGTATTTCCAACATCTGATCAGCTATGACATTCACAGAATAATGTGAATTTGTGAACAATTTTCAAATGACCATGACCTCTTTCATTTTCCAGTTATATAGTTAAAACAAAGCAAATCGGTTTTGATCAAATAATTAAATTTTTTACTAGGCTTTGTGTTTTGTAAAGGTTGGCAAGCAAATGACTGTGCATGATGCATAATGTCCAATGACCAGTATTTAATGGACTATTGGAATCTTAAATAATTATACAATAAATGTTCTATAAAGGAGAATAAAAGCTTGAAGAAAGGGAAATTTGAAGTGCAGTAAAAGGATGAGGACATGTTAGGTCTGATAATAAATTTGGCTTTGAATGAGTTTCCATCAATCTCAGTTGTTGCAACGGTTCTTTAACATGCACAGACATTGGTACTCTTCAGACTTGGACATGAGACTTGAAATTTCAGCTAACTTGTCTGCATATTTATTTGAAGAGATTCAAAAGATCTTCAGATATTAACTACAACTCTCTCATTTTCAAGGTTTAATGATTATGTATTGATGATGACACAGTTTCCCTGTTGTGGAATTTTAACCAGTGCTGCAGTCATTTTGATAATATTTTAAATAGCTCTGAATTCTTCACCAGTAGTTGTGACTATATGGTACATACATGATTTTACTATCTGTCGAACTCACTGGTTTCTACATACTGTCTTACATAAATTGATTTCAAATTTCAATTACAGATGAAATATCTACAGAAACTGCATTAAATTTTGATTTAAGAAATATACTGTCTTCAATTTTCACTTAATCTTTTGGAGTCCATTCTAGCATCTTGTCTGGATGCAATTATTCCATTTGTGTTTTTTGGCCACAAACTCCATTCATGAAATCTCGAACCATTTCATCTCCATTCATGAAAACTCAAACCGTTCCATTTCTAAGGGATCATCTCCATACAGAAGATCATCATCATTATAGTACATGTTATATTCTGACTCCTCCCATCCATTGTCCATATCATTGCCCATTTCAGCACCAGCAGCAACCACTGATACAGATACTGGTTTAGTTTCACTGTTGTCATCATCTTCTGAGTCTGTATCTGGCTCTGTGAAATAAAGTTTAAAAAATCATTTTGTGTAACCAATTCTAATCTAAATACTTTCCCTACTTCTACAAAATGAAATAGAATACAAATCTGCATACAGTAAAATATAAGAGTGAGGAGACAAAAGACAGCACCTTTAAACACAAAGATAAATAAAATGTGCACGGACAACACATTCAAGTGTTACATGGTAAAGGAAGGATAATTCCTCTTTCAGCTGTGAGGTTAATTCCTGGATAGATCATTGAGAAGTACAAATCTAACCTTGTTCAAGAAAAATAATTCCTTTATCAGCTGTGAGGTTATTCCTGGATAGATCATGGGAAAATACAAGTCTAACCTTGTTTAGGAAGAATATTGGTAATTTCTCTATCAGCTCTAGCATCTTAGGAGATTCCTAGATAGGTATTGACTAATGGAGAAATACAAGCCTTACCTTGTTCAGAAAGAATAATTTCTTTACCAGCATAGAGGTTATTCCAAGATAGATCATAAAGAAATTCAAGTCTTACCTTCTTCAGAAAGAAGCATTCTGAGAGTATTGCATGGCAATACATAGTCCCCTACCAGTTAAAAATTCATTGTACTGGAACAAAATGCTAATTTGATCTATAACTTGTCATGGTGTAAACTGTATAACAAATATCAAGTCAATATCTTCAAGCATGATGAAAAAAGTGTGGAAAACTGATTATTTAAGTGAATTTTCTAAGTCCAAGGACCATTACTCTGCACAAAATCATCAGACCAAAACAAAATTCGAACTTGATATATATGTAACTTGTCATGATAAAACTATATACCAATTATCAAATCAATATCTTCAAGCATGACGAAAAAAAGTGAGGAAAACTGATTATTTGAGTGAATTTTCTAAGTCCAAGGACCATAACTCTGCACAAAATCATCAGGCCGTAACAAAATTCGAACTTGATCTGTAACTTGTCATGATAAAACAATACACCAAATATCAAATCAATATCTTCAAGCACGAAGAAAAAAAGTTTGGAAAACTGATTTGCCGGACTGACGAATGGACAGACAGACAGACAGACGGACGGAGTGTAAACCTAAAGTCCCCTTCGACTTCGTCGGTAGGGGACTAATATTTCCTCTATCAGTTCAGAGATTATTCATTTATATAACAAGAAGAAATACAAGTTTTACCTACTTCAGAAAAAAAATATTCCTCTATAAGCTGAGAGGTTCTTCCAGGATAAGTCATGTAGAAAAACAATCCTTACCTGGATCAGGAAGAATAATTCCTGTATCAGCTCTGAGGTAGTTCTGAGATAAGTCATGAACACAGAATGTTATATATGAATGATTCAAATCAAGATCCTCTTCTACAACACTTGTACCTACAAATAGATGATAATTATTAGTATGTTTGCTTTAAATATAAACTTTCCCTGGGTTTTTGGTAGGATTTGTGTTGCTCAGTCTTTTGTTTTCTATGTTGTGTTTTGTATACTGCTGTTTGTCTTTTGGTTTTTTTTTGTTTTTTGCCATGAAATTGTCAGTTTGTTTTCGAGTGAGTTTGAATATCCCTTTGGTATCTTTCCCTCTCTTTCAGATTATCCTTTAAGGGGCATTAGCTGTCAAATTCATTTTCACAATTTGACTTAAATTCTTATATTTGATTTATAACATACTAAAACGTATATCCAAATTACAAAAAAGTCTAAAATAAACAATAAACAATGCATGGACCATAATATGTATCAGCATTTTGTGTGTAATTTTATCTAGACATCATCTAATTAACCATCGAGATGACCTCAGACGGTCATATAACCCGATATAAACATAAATAGGAATATAAATAGATGGTGAGAACATGCAATTGGATTTTTCTAAATCTGTTTGATTTCACGTTAAAGGTTGAAAAACAAGTTAATCATCATTTTTATCTGCATAAGAATAATTTTTCTTGGATCGAATCAGTCAACCAAATGGTTCATATAAAAATAAGGAGATGTGGTATGATTGCCAATGAGACAACTATCCACCAAAGTTCAAATGAAGTGATCCTTGTTTCACTTTTGATGTTGATATGCTTTTCCTTTAAATAGCTGAACACGCCTAGAACATGGGTAACCCATCTCCAGCTAAGGGGTTAAATTGAACATTACATGAATACAGATTCAAAGAGGTCAAATTATTGTCTTGGAAGTCAATAATACATCAGCAATCTTTTTTAGCTTAATTTGATAAATTTGGACCAAACTGACTGCCTATAACGAAATATTATTTCAAAATTCCGCTATCACTAATACTTGAAACAAAAACAAATTATATTTTAAATTTTTGTCTAAATCCTAGCTAATGCCCCTTTAAGATAAACATTCAAATAATATTCCAAATACAAGGATTTATTGCATAAATAAACTTGTCTCATTGGCAATCGTACCAAATCTTCTTATTTTTATACAGGATAAGTGTTTCAGGATATACAAACAGTTGAATTGAAGCATGATGATGAAGGTTTGCATTCTTTATCATTTCCTGATCATCGTTTAAATTCATTCAAGTTTCACATTATCTATTGAATTGGACTTACCTCCAATACAAAGCATTAATTTCCTCTCCTGATCAGAAACTGGTGACTGGAGAAAAGAAGTGACTGTATGATTAGTTATGTCCAGACACCCACTAACATCCAAGGACTCCAAGTTAGGACAAAGGCATGCAAGATCTTCAAATGCTGAAAAATATAACACACATAAAACTGAGAGGAATTGGTATGATTGCCAATGAGACAACTATCCACCAGAGCTAAAATGAAGTGGTAGTACACAATTATAGTGCATCGTACGACCTTCAACAAGGAGAAAAACCAATACCATAGTTTGTGAGATGTTAATTTATTCTGCCAAGCAAGTGTGTAATTATACAATGGCATTTAATCATATTATACTATGTAATGTATTGGTTTAGACTCTCAATACAACAAATCAACAGCAATAATTGCGTCTGCCTGAGCTATTTTTTTTGTGAATATTTCAATAGTAATCAATTACCAAGAATAATGGTATTCCTCCATTATACGCAGTGTTTCAATTGAATGACGAGTGAAATAAAACATTCCATTCAATTGATGCTTTGCCTGGAATGTGGCAAGGTCATATTAGTTTACCCTTCTTCATCCATCAATCTATACCATGCACAGTGTTTACATTTGGTTTATCAGCATTAAAAATAAAGAGATGTGGTTTGATTATAACAACTTTTTAACAAAAGACCAAAACAAATATGTAGGTGAATGCAGGTCAAAACTAGAAATATCAATAATATTTCGATACTTCTAATTATTGTTTTTTTTTGTGTTTCATTCCATATCTCAGAAATCTTTAATAAAACATCAATGAAATTACCATTCAAATTTAAATTCAAATACTTTATTGTTGCATAACTTCGATACTTACCACTGTCTGTCAGCCCAGAACAGGCACGGGCAGTCAGAGATTTCAGTCTACCATTTCTAGATAAAACTTGTATACTTTCATCATCTACCTACAAGACAAACAGTAATATTTATCATGAAGAGAAATTTAGATATTGATGGAAATTAAAAGTATTGAAGACTTAGTTTAATAGAAAAACAAAGGATATGGGGTATACATCCATGACACAAAATCAGTACATGCACAGCAAAAAGCACACAAAAATCAAAAGAACAGCACTTTTATTGCTGTTTTTCATCTCAAAGTCACAGAGAGGCCTTCAACAAGGAGCAAAAATACTCTCATTTCACTGCAAGTTTAAGACTGTCCCTAGCACCAGTTTGAGTGGAATCCTTTACAAAATAATTTGAATAAACTTTGTAAGATGTAAAACCATCAAACTGGGCCTGGTCAAAATGAACATACTGGAAAATAGTACAAAGTCAAACTATCTGGACCATGTGTTATAAAAAAAAGAAGATGTGGTATGATTACCAATGAGACAACTCTCCGCAAGAGACCAAATTGTTCATTGTTGTTTGTAATTTTTTGTTGTATTTCTTATTTTTTAAAAGGAGTCCGGTGTTGATGTGGTCTGAAGTACTGACCAATATTTTTGGTAACTCCAGTGATCCTTTTAAGGTATTTCTAATTATATTTGTAAAATAAGTTCTAAAAGCTGTATTGCTTTTGAATAAAAGACTATTTTAGTTGTTGAATCTCCTTATGTTCAAATTAGTACATGCAACGTTAACTCTCTTATTTTAATCAACTTTCATCATAAAACCTATATCTAACTATATTCGTTAATCAAATCTTAATGTACATTAAACACATTACCCTCAGTCTGTACAACAGTGAGTTATATATATATATATATATCATATCAAACAATACTGTTAACCAACTTATTTTTGCGGATACATTATTTCGCGTTTGGCCCTTACTATCCCATTTTGCGGCGATTTTAATTTGTGATTTTCAAATTTGCTTGATGTAGTTAAATGAGGAAAGATCCAAGTTTTACAAAGGACAAGGTACGATAAGCCCCCGTTTTGGACCCCCTATTTTCTCATTTTTCAAATTTTGTTTTGGAAAGCTACTTATTATGTGGAAATATTTCCTTAGGTTTGAAGTTTGTTTGGATGAACTTCAAAACCATTAATTTCAGCAACTAGGTGAGGTGAGGGGGGTGAAAGGGCATCAAAAACACCAAAAGTAGGAAAAATTACGATTTTTGGCCTGTGTTTCTAAAAATTTAATAGCGTGCACCTACATGACCCGGAGAAAATTATGGCAATCTAGACAGCAAAAACAGTCATAATGACATTGTAATAAAAAAATTCCTGGGTGACGTTGGCGCAGGCATTTAAATACTAAAAAATCGTTGTACGGAACACCTCCTAAGTGAATAATAATTACAGTATCTGAATAATAACGGAAAGTTTACCCCCTCACCTCACCCAGTTGCTGAAATTAATGGTTTTGAAGTTCATCCAAACAAACTTCAAACCTCAGGGAATATTTTGACATGATAAGTAGCTTTCCAAAAAAAAATTTGAAAAATAAGAAAATAGGGGTGGGGGCCAAAACGGTGGCTTATCGTACCTTGTCCTTTGTGACGATTTATATTCACGTTATTTTCTACTCGCGTAAGACGCGAAAAATAAATAGCTCACGAAAATAAGTTGGTTTACAGTAACTGATGATAAATCTTGGTCAGCCATGATAAAAAAACTTCATGTGACATATACAGTGACAAAATTTGGTATATATATGATATACTTACCTTGTAAAGATAACTAATGTCTAATGATGTAAGATTAGAACAGAACCCCAAAGCCTTCATGCCTACTCCAGTTACATCTCTATGACAACAGCTGATATCCAATGTTCTTAAATAAATGTGAGATGAGAAAAAAATAACAAAACATTCACACAACTGCAATGCAAACAGCTATTAACATTCAATGTTTTAACCTAAACTTAGATTTAGAAAGAATCCAAAAGTCTTATACCCCCAAGCTTGTCACATCTCTATTGCACAATCTTATACTCCAATGTTGAATTTAGTGCAAAATATTAAAACTTTCATATGATCTCTGTTGCAGCAACTGGTATTCAATGATGTTCCGAAATATAAAGTAAATAACTCAATTTAGTATCTTTATCTGATATCTAACATACTGAAATAAATGTTTCCCTTTAACTTAGGAATTTTAATTACCTGCTCCACATCTATTTCCTTTTTTGCAGAAAAAATATACCGGTAATCTGTTTGTTTACTAGAAATATAATCTCCTGAAACCTACTGTAGATTCATTATTATTCGTGGGATACCAATTTTTGTGGGTTTCGTGGGTACAGGTGAACCATGAATTCAAATGTTCAACAAATTACAAATTTTCTATAGGCAATGTATGCAGTAATTGCCAAAACCACGAAATTAAATATCCACGAAAACGCAAGTGTACCTCATTCCACGAAAACTGATACCCAGGAATATAAATGAATCCACAGTATATTAAAATATGGAAAAAAATGGTACCACAAGATACAAGTGAGACATTCTGTTCCTTAATAATTTCAAATGGCTTCTAATTTATATGTTTTTAAGTGCCCTTCATGATGATTATTGTATTTCCCAAACTTACTCTAGAAATGGACATCCGATGGCTATGGCTGATAGTAAGTCATCATTGACTGTTAAATTCTGTGACATGTGTACATCTCTCTGTAATAAAATAAAATACAATTCACTACTGGAAATTTGTTAATTTTCCAGGCATCATTTTTTTTAATTTTAGACCGCTGTTCTGATTAGGACAATTTGGTATTAATATTTCAAATATTTTTGGCTCTCCACACTTTAGTTTTCCTGATAAAGGCTATTCCAGAAACATGAGGTGTGCCTACCAAAATGGTATCATTTGGTTTTCACCGTGGTTATTGCACAGTATGGCTGGTTTTTTATAAACAGGTGTCAGAAAAAAAGAAATCAGTTCTTCACATAAACTTGTACATTTAATGTCTTACAAATGATAAATACAATTAAGAATGATATTAAGTGCCTTTAAAAAGGTTGGAATTAGATTGAAGAGTCTGTCTTATGAAAATAAGGGATAAGGTGCTTTATCAATGTCATTAATGAATACAAATTTCTTCTAAACTGCTGAAACCATGTCAAAGCCATCACACAAAAATACTACCATGAAGTTTTACAATAAAAGTAAAATTAGAAATGAATTTCTATTTCTAGACTATACCTACCAATTTAGAAAGTTTGGCAATCTTCATCAGTCCATCCTTTGATACTGAAAGAACAAATGTTAATTATCATTCAACCAAAGAAAATCACATGCCTGGAACCATTACCTGCTTCAAATGTGCATTATGTACTGTGGAAATGACAACTTGAATTATACGTACATGAAAGATTGTCTTCTGTGGGAAAAAACTTCTAAAAAATAAGGAGGAACGATGCCCAATGAACAACTATCCATCAGAGCCCAATGACGTGGAAGCAATTATTTAGGTCACTGTATGGCCTTTAACAATGAGATAAACCCAAACCGTATAGTATACTACATTCTTAGCATACTATATTCTACTATTCATGATCTACCATTTTAAGGAACGACTAAACATATAGTCAGAAGGACTTTTTTTCATTTTGTGTGTGAGTTGGCCTTGTTTATACATGAACACACTGCTCCAAAATAACCTTATTTTGAAAACTAAATATGAACAACTAGATTGAGATGAATTAAAAGTTTTCAATCAAAACTATTATCAACTTTTAATATATAAATTACAATGTTTCAGATTAAAAATATTTCACTTTAACATTAGGCTCTAAAGATATGCTGTCGCTAAACTGGATCTTTGGGCCTGGATAACCAAGTGGTTTAAGTACGTAATTCATCTCAGTATCACTAGCCTGTCAACACTCATGAGGTTGTGAGATTGAACCCCACACATTACAGGTAGGTTCAACTCCAATCTTAATTAAATATGTCTGACACTCATGTACACTGGAATATACAGACCAAATATAGTTGAGGTATCACTTATAGTTACAGAGAACAGACCTAATCATGAAAACTGAACATGAATCAAATGAGGTCAAGGTTATGCAACATTTGTCAGACATCTATGTACAGAGGAAAGTTAGAACAAATATAGGTGAGCTATAACTTACAGTTACTAAGCAACTAACTTATATGTAATCAAGGACATTAACCAGACTTTTCAAAGTTATTCCTGGTAAAATGAGTTCAAGGATAAGCAACATAAGTCAGACAAACATCACCCTTCAAAGAAGTATCTATAGACCAAATATCATGGCCCAGTTAATCTTGTTCCTGAAAAACTGACCTAATCACGAAAACTGGATGCAAATTTTACAAAGTCATTGAACCATAAAAATGAGGTCATGGTCAGCTGACATGTGTCAGTCCAGACCATGAAGCATTTAAGGATAAGGTTTACGTTTTAAACCTTCTAAAGTATTTAGCATTTACACAACATGTTAATGTAGTCGCCACCTGGATGTAACGCTATAGTAAGATTTTGGTATAACACAAGGTCACGCCTTACCTTGTTTTGTTACAATTGATCCATTTGAAGCTAAACTCAACAATATCCTTGTACAGGCAAACACTATTTATCAGTCTGAATTAGCTTTTAGTATCTGTGAGCACACTTACATTGTAGGTAATTACTTTTTGTCTCTTGTTATTTCTTGGATTTATTGTCTTATGTTTATCTCTGACAAGTTGAGTCCATTCTATTTGAAATTTGAAGCAGTTTGATACATTGATTTGTTGTAGTACCACTATGTCATATATTTAATTATGATAGGGAGGCAGTTCAGCTCTTATGAACATTTATCGCACCACAGGTAAATTATTACGTTGTGATTGGTTTAACGCCGTCACGTGGTGACCCCTATGGATCCGTAGGGGGTTAGTAAATTTCATAGTGGGTTCATGACATCACGTCTACTGTTAATGGTGACATCATCTATTGATGTTGTTGTATTTCATTGTTTATTTTTCTACAAAACGCTGCAGAAAAAGTCTCGCGTGCGATAAATTCGTTATACGGTTCACTACTGACCCCCTACAGACCATAGAGGGTGAATAAAATCCACAGGGGATTCCGCCTTCGGCCTCACCCCTATGCATTTTACTAACCCTCTATGGATCCGTAGGGGGTCAGTAGCGAACCATATAACTTATAGTTTACCCCCATTATTTCACTTATTAGCATTTCTCATGAGTAAGAGCTCATAATCCAGTAATAATAAAACAGGTTTTTCCAAAATCTGAAAAATATGACAATTTCCAAGAATTGGACAAGGGAACTCCATAAAAGTATTGAATATCACTAATGCAAATTTGGCATGTATCAACAGAGGTTTCATATTACATGGCAACATATAAAAATTATATGAAAAGGTCAGAATTGACAAAACAGTTTCAAAACCTGTATTCAACCATTAACATAACCTAAAAGTATCCATGAGGTAAGAACATTTATCATTATAAATTGTTGAAAATACTTATAGGAAATAGTCAGCAATGTAGATTTTTTTCATTTCTGGTATGACGTGAATTTCTTTTTCTAATCATTTCTAATCAGATAGTAAAACTATTGCTGTCACAATTTCCTACATGTTTGCCCTACATTTACCATAAATAATTATGTACTTTATATACATATACTGTTGAAGTAATTTTATTGTTGAAATCAATTTAATATGTGGTTTGCCAAAACATTGCAGGTTTTTGAGGATTTTAATTTGTTGTTTTTAAGTTTAAAACATTTGAACTTTAGAAAAGAAAAAATTGTATTTGGTGGGTAGTAAACTTTGTTTAGAGGGAACAACTAAATCAATTATTATACACTGCCCTAAAACAACTATACTTTTAGGATAATCTTTCACTACATGTTACAGGTTTTTAGTAATTAACTGACTGTTTAAAGCACTCAGACACTTTAAAAAATAAATTATACATTTAACAGGAAAATGCTATACTTTTTGAGTAAGGGTAATTTTTTTCAGGTCCCTGTCTACATAAAATTACCTCTAAATTAGATAACATTTCAAAAATCATTGTACAATATTTCATATAGATCATGATAGATCAAGCTGACATGTCATCTTTAGAAAGAAAAAACAATATATATTTTTTGTTTTCAGTCAGTTCAAAATAATCACTTGGATAGCCTTACTCACAATAGTCACTGCTCACAAGCAATGTTCTAAAAATACCAATCTTTGGAAAAGTATTCAATATCAACTAAAGTTGGTTGAGAGTTCCGACGGAAGATGTGAATGTGGATCGAAAGATAAGAGTAAGTAGTTTTATTTAAGAATTGAATGCTTGTTTTTATAAATTTATTGGGGTGTAAAAGAGTTGACCGAAGTACATTTTGTATGAAGCGCGGATGCGCTTCATTCTAAAAATGTTCACATGGTCAACACTTTTAAAACCCTATGAAATTACTAAAAGAAGTATTCAATACTTATAATTACATTTTTTTGCCAAGATCACGAAAACACGATTTCTATCAAGTTTTTCTTTTATTTACCTGTGCACTTTATTGTGGAAGCTCGTGTCATCATGAATGTTACATTTCATTTTGAAATGAAGGTTAATTTCAGAATGACGCGAGATTGCTGTTAGCCAATCAAAATAATGTATTATAATGAAACATACATGTAATGTTATTATATCTAAATACAAGTGCTACTATTTTAAAAAGCAACTTATTTGGGCTTTAATTTGTCTGCTGTCACGAGTAACATTTGCCTCAAATTAAAATTTATAAAAATGGTTAAAACTATTGAGTGAAAATCTATGTTATAGCAAAATACCAAAATGATACTTAATGCCAACACAAACAACTCAAGGCATCCAGACTATAATTGACAACATGATTATTTAGAAAATCAAACTTTAAAAATTTCTTTGGAAAATATCAAAAGGAGTCTTTTGATTTACTTACTTCAGATCATTGAAATTTTGTCAAAAATAAACTTAATAACTAATGGCTCCAATTATTTCTTCAATCATTACAAATATTTGATTTTCATTTTGAATATGGTTCTGGATACTGCATAAGCATTCATTATTATTTATGGCTATTAATTTTTGTGGTTAAAGGTGGTTACCATGAATCCAAGTTATAAAAATAAATACAATTTCCTTTAGTTTGTAAGATGTCTGAGAATTGGTTCAAAACACAAAATCCAAGTATCCACAATTAAGTGCTTTGCTGAGTGCAGCTGGATACGCCCGCAGAGATCCAACCCTGAACAGTTGGGGCAAAAATGGACACAATATTCAAGCTTGATACAGGTCTGAATTTGGATTGTAATTAAATATTTGACATACTATAGGTTTCTGAATAAATGTTGTCAAAGAACTTGAAATTGGTTATATGAATTGAATTTATATTCAATTAAAGATTTCTTGCTGTTGTCCAATACACTGTGCTGTTGTGCACTACTTAGTAAATCTGTTGTCAGACTATGAACAAATAAAGTTCAATTTCTTCTCAATGTCAAATTTGAAATTTATGAAAATCATAGGGAGATTACATCAATAGCTATAAATAATTCACCAAAGTTTCATGAGAACTGCTGAAAGCATTTTTGAGTTATTGTCCAAAAACTGGAAATCCCCCCTTTTTTAATGAATAAAACCCCATAACTCAGAAATGTAAAATCTAAAATTTATAAAATTCTAAAGGGAATTTACATCAACAGATATAAACAATTCACCAAGGTTTCATGAGAACTGCTGAAAGCATTTTTTAGTTATTGTCCGAAAACTGGAAAATCCCCCTTTTTTTATGAATAAAAACCTGTTACTTGGAAACGTAAAATCTAAAATTTATAAAAATCCAAAAGGGAGCTCATGTCAATAGATATAAACAATTCATCAAAATTTCTTGCAAGTTGGTGAAAGCATTCTTGAGTTATTGTCAAAAAACTGGAAAATCCCCCCTTTTTTTATGAATAAAACCCCAAAACTCGGAAACGGTAAATCTGAAATTTATAAAAAACGAAAGGGAGCTCATGTCAATAGATATAAACAATTCACCAAAGTTTCATGCATATTGGTTAAAGCTTTTTTGAGTTAATGTCCGACATGTTGACGACGGACGGACGGACGGTCAATGGTATACTATAATAAGTCCCGTAAACGGGCATATAAAAATGAAATTTTTTCCTCGCTCCATAATAAGCGAGTGACAGGTTTCAAAAAGACACTTAGTTAACGACTTTAATGCACCCATC